TATTTGAAAAAATATGTTTCCGCGTTCCAAGGCTAGGGAGTCGACAACAAACGGCATTCTATTGTCAAGCTGGCCGTACAAATGTTATGACAAAATCGCCAATTAATCTCATGTGCTGCGTCATGAACAGTGTTACTGAATCGTGTGATATTTACAGTGACAGTTGTGCATCGATTATTAACTGCTATAGATCATCCAATCTTATTTAGAATGTGTGATACTATAGATTTAAGTCCAAGAACCATGTCTCTTTAATTGTTATTTTTTCAGCGCTTCCTGTAATTTTGTTTCACCTGTTGGAAATAAATAAATAAATAAATATCAGTCTCCGAAATATCGGCTGATTATTGGTTTCGACAGAGATATTACGTATTTTGAAAAGTGACATTATATGGATTTTTTTGACAGGAACATTTATGAAACGTTTTATATTATTCTTTTTTTCAAAGAAATTTATTTTGCGATGTCAAATACAAATCGGCGCTGAGTTGTTTTGTGTGTGATGCGTCATTCCTCATTGTTGTGTAATGCTTCTCAAAGTTTTTGAAAACGCAAAAAAGGGTCGACAATCGTAATTTATAGCTTTGAACATAAACTCTCTTCAGAAAGGAGGAAGCTCATAATAGCAGCTATCTAGTCAGCAAGTTGACATTTTGTCGTTTTTTTGATATTTTATAGGTTCTTTACGTAATAACCCTGCTGGTCTCTATTTTGAATATTGCGCAAAACACCCTGAGAGAGACATATCAATCTAACTTTGCCAATACTTTCCGTTAGGCAATGGAGACAGACCAACAGCAGCCACCAGCCCCGGAAAAACAAGAACCATCCTCACAACCCTCTCAGCCGCCTCACCAAGACGGATCCAAACCACCAGCCCCTTTCCAACCGCCTCACGTCGATAACTCCCAATCTCCACCTAATCAACAGCCTCCGCCACCACAGCATCAGCATCCCTCTCAACAGGGTGAAATGCAGGGGCACGCGACCATGCCGCCTCAAGGGATGCAACCTCCGCATCCCCCTCATCCGGGTAGTCAGCAGCTACCACCGCCCTCGATGCCCCCATCGACGGGTCCAGGGGGGCATCATCCGCCTCCTCCGCAGGGGGTGCAACATGGGCCGCCGCCGCAGGTGCAGCACGGACCGGCAGGGTGAGTTGGATTCCATTTGTTGAATGATGAATGTACTAAAGTATTGGGTTATAAATTATTAGTAACCAATTTGGATTTCAAAAGCAAAAAATACCATCGTGCTATTTTCACATTATTCCAACAGTTTTACTCAAATTTAAACGATAAACAAATTTCAGCAGCTGTTTTTTGAGACTTTTCCATAGCTTTCGACTGTGTAAATCATCTATTGAAAAAATCGAACAAATATGGTTGTTCTGGAAGTTCACTCAATTGGTTTAAAACATATTTGAATAATTGTAAAATTATCAAGTCATTATATGTCAAATAAATTAAATATAAACGCAGGGGTACTTCAAAGATCGGTATTAGGTCCTATCCTGACTTTAGTCTATATTAACAATCTATTAAACTTAAGCATAAATGGTAAATTCGTAGTTTTTGCTGACGATACCACAATAGAGCAAGACAAAGATATAAATCAAATTAAGATAAAAATTTATAGTGATATACAATCAATCAAAAAATTGTTTGACAATAGCCACTTGACTTTTAATATTAGTAAGACACAATTTATGACATTTAACTGCTCCCTTGATTTTATAAATTTAAATAATGAATTGATATATAAAACAGACACCATCAAGTTTTTGGGTATGACCATTGATCATAAATTAGATTCGTCGCTGAAGATCGACATTATGCCATTCTGCCTCCCAATGTTGCCGTTTTCTGCTCCAGTTCAAACGTTGACGACAGTGGTCCGCAGTCAGAGGAAGCACTTTTTTTGGGTTGGAACTGGGTGTAACACTTCCGTCACTGAGTATACTTTTATTATATTCGCTTAGAGAGATATTAGTACAGGGACTAAAGCAATAATAAAAATTCTTTCAGGCATATGCCCCCAGGTCACGGTCCACCAACAACCCAACATCAACCGCCCCCGATCATGTCTGGAGGTCAAGTACCGCCTCAGTATGCTCAACAGTACGGACCGCCGCCTCCACAGGCTCGAGGTCCACCGGGCCCGCCAGGAGGTCATCCGGGATATCCTGGGTATCCGCCACCACCTGGACCTCAGCAGCAAGCGCCTCCGGGTGGATACCCCCCACCACAACAAGGTACGAGGGTTGGCCTAGAAATAAGTTTACCTTAGGCCCGGTTTTTCAGTCGCAGGTTAACTACCACTTTGGTCTTAACTTATATTTATCGATAAAAAAGCTTTTTCGTCCTTGGCGTGAAAATTTCAGCCAAATCCGAGCAGTACTTTCTAAGTTATAGGCACTCCAAAGATTAGCGGACAGAAAGACAAACCGACATAAATGAGTGCCATATAACATCTATAAAAACGTGATATCTCATTTTTAGAAATGTTTTAGTCTGGTAGGAAGTAAAAGTAATATTAATAATTGTGTTTTTGTTCTAGGCGGCATGCCTGGTCATCATCAGCCTTACCCTCCTCCGCCTCAAGGCGGTTATGGCCCGCCACCACCTCAACAGGGTCCGCATCCTTACTATCATCATCCGCAGTCGTATCCGCCTCAGCAGCAATATCAGCCGCAGCAGCCTCCGCCGCAAGGTCATCCTCCAGGTATGTGATTAAATAAAATTGGCATATGTACAAACATCGTAGACGATGCAGAAACTTGATTGTATCGCAACTCCGCCGTGTTTTTGTCGATTATTTACGTAAATATAATACTGTAAACAAATATTTCATTCATGGAAATGTCTATATTTAGTTTTAATATTTCTTCAGTTTGTCGAAGATGTATTTAGCATTAATGCTACAATGTCAACTTTGTACAATTATTCGTTTTCACATTTTTTTGAATCAATTTTCTGTAGTTTTACATTTTTGTCTATTAAAATTATATCACTATGCATTTTCAGTATTCATAAAGTGACTTTTTAATTTAACCTTAAACATTTTTAAATGCCAATTTGTGTTTTGTTGTGGTACTAAAGACTAGCATTAAAATACCTTCATATTATTTTATGACCAAAAATGGGACGACAAAATTATGGAAACATTTTTATTACAAAATTATATACAATAACTTTACAAAAAGTATTGTTTAACTAATATTTTGTAGCATAGCCTTTAGCATTCAACCCTGCCTGACATCTGCTGCTCATAGAAGACACCCATTTTTTACAGACGTCTGTTGGGATATTTTGCCAAATATTTTTTACATAATCAAATAAATCGTTCCTATTTTTAAAAGTTTTTCTTGTCAGTTGTCTTTTAACATGCTCCCAGAGATGTTGTATAGGGTTTAGGTTCGGGGATTGTGAAGGCCATGTAAGAACATTAACATATTTAGTCTTAACCAGTCCTTTACGAATTTTGAAATATGCTTGGGGTCATTATCTTGCTGGAATGTCCATCGTAAAGGAATTTCTTCTTCAGCACAAGGGAGCATGAATATCTTTGTAAAGTTTTTGATCCATTTTCCCAACAATTTTAACAATTGGACCCGTTCCAGAACTAGAAAAACAGCCCCAAACCATGATGCTGCTTCCACCGTGCCTAACTGATGGCAACTGATACTTTTTGTTGAATCTTTTTGTATTGAACATCTCACATATGCCATACCGTCAGATCCAAAGAAGTTACATTTTCTTTCATTGTTATTCTGCCCAAGTTGGATGAGTTCTAGCAATTTCAAACCGAGCAATACGATTTATTTTTAAATGAGAGGCCTTTGCACTGGACGCCTACCAAATACCCTAAAATCCACTAAGCGTCTCCGCACTGTTTTGACAGAAAGATTCTGGGCACTCTCTTCTACGATTCTTTTGAAAATATGTGTGGCTGGCATTCTAGGATCTTCACAGGATAAACGTTTAATGTAGCGATCCAAAACATAATCGTATTTTTTTCGGTCTTCCTCACCTGGGCCGCGTTGCTGATGATCTGTATTCTTGATATTACTAATAATTTTCAAAATCGCCCCTTTGTTCATTCTAAATAATTCAATTACTTTGTCTCTTAAATATTTTTAAAATTCTTTTACTTTTGCCATTCTTACTGATGTTAATATTTACCGCACGCAATATCAGAGTATCGCAGAACGAATAAATACAGCAAAACTGAAACGTTTCCATACTTTTGTCGTTACAAAAACTGTGGTATTTAAAAAAAAAGCGAGAATTTGAATATTGATAAGATAAACCTTGTACAAGTTCGAGAGCCAAAGATAGACTTTAATATGTATATTATCTGTTCCTTCAAAATTTTTATTTATGTTCATATTTGCTTCCAAACTTTTGCCCGGTACTGTATATTTATGTTCTGTTGAATATTAGGTCCTGGTAGACCTGTAGCAGGTTATCCACCGCTGAATCCGGCTCAGCAACAGCCCCACCAACTACATCATCAGCCTCAACAACCACCTCCGCAGCAGCAGCAACAGGGTCCACCTCAAGGTCTGCCACAAGGCCCTCCTGAAAGCGGCCAGGAAGGGCAGAACTATCCTCCTGAAGGCCCAAAACCAGCTGAAGAAGGACACGATGACAGAAAAGGTAAGTTGAAAAGAATTTCTCCTTTCGCTTTTTGGAAAACGAGGTTGAGTCAGAGGAAAGCCAAGGAAACAGAAGGTGTCATGGATGGTCGGAAATGTGCAGGAAAATAGTAAAATCAACATGTCGTGAGATTTTGTTTGGTATTTGGAGTGGAGACAGGCTGAATTTCTGATTTGTGACCTGAATCTTCCAAGGTGAAGGAATATGTGATTTAATCTGCCATATGATGAAATAACTTCTATAATTGTAGCAAAACATTTGTATACTTTGATTCTGATATGTAATTTTCTTTGCAGATTCTAAGAATTTAGAGAAGGAGGAGAAATGAAAGCCAGTGATCTTCAGACAAATTTAGCATATGTACATATTTTCATATAATGGTGTTTTCATTTTAAAACTCAGTATAAGCTACATTGTCATTTCATAATTTTATATTATTTTAAATTTTGGTAGTTTGACATTTCACCAATAAAACGTTCTACGGATTTTGACACATTTTTCTTATTCCCCAGTTTCTTTTGAAACAATGCTCATATCGCTTTACATCAGTGACAATCTTTTAACAGTGTACTGTTATGTCATCTATACAATGCTTTCTACCTCCCTCTGTCCCGTTTTTTACTACTACCATCTACATGGTTCAATGAATAAAATAAGCAACTAAAACTGTTCCCTTTAACCATGATCAAATAATTAGGTATTTTTCTCATCATTTTATTATTATACTATGCAACACCCTCATCAATGCTTCCAGTTATTGGTAAACCCATTAACGCATAAACTAACTGATTCTGTGAGTAAAGGTGTTGAGTCTTCATATTTTATCGTAGATTCTAGATTCCCGCCTGAAAAAAATAACGCGTCTTTAGATTATTTTAGAATGCTGTTATTATTTGTACTATGTAATGAGAGCTTCACTTTTGCACGTCAACAATACTTCATTTGCCATTATGTAAAGTTAGAATCATATATCAAGAGTCCACCGTATACTTTCTATCACTTACTTTGACTAGAACATCTTGTATCACCTTCACCGTCTGTAGTTCCGGATTTTTCCGGTAGATCAAGCTTGGTAGCCTCCATAGCCAACTGCAGATCCACCTCGCTAAAACTGATCTCAATCTGTTCGTTGTTATTCAACGTTATCGATCGCCTATGAATGTGGTCATCTTTGGCCTCTTCCGAAACTCGTACGACCAAACCCGGTGGACTCGCTGTACATTTATGCGATCTCTGGCTCACTTTGTATCTGAATCGTTTCTCGCACGCCGTACATTTGTAAGGCATGTCGCCAGTGTGGATTCTGCGATGGACTAAGTAGGAGACACGTTGTCTGAAGCACTTTCCTGAAAAATTAGATTGGTTACGATTACAACATTACGAGATCTGAATACTTTGACTAAAATCATGTCGTCTCCTAGGACACTTACCGCAAGTTTCACAACTGAATGGCCTCTCCCCGGAATGTATTCTAGCATGGTTTTGCAACGTCGAAAGTTCTTTGAATGATCGTCCACATTCGTTGCACGAGTATGGTTTCTCCGATGAATGATACAGCATGTGTTTGTGGTATGATTGTTGGAAAGTGAAAGATTTGTTGCACAGGTTACAGGTGTATGGCATTTCACCTGAAAATACGAATCTCGTCAATAGGAGTCATGTAGATTGACTCTGTATGTACCACATTTTATTCCTCAAGGGAGAACGGACAGTAATACAGAGTTTGCCTGTACCCAAACCAATCAAAGCTTATCTATGACTATGACTATGTTTTCAAATGGACTGTTGTACATAATATCAAGAGAATATTGCATCCTTTCTAAGTTTAGTATTGATTTGCTTTTCATAGCCAGATTAGCAAAACAAAACCTTAAAAATACTGATAATCCAATGCGTAGATGGTGAAATTAGACGATAATATCATGCGTTAACTATGTGAGAAGTTACACAATGTTAGAAGCCTAGTCTTTTCTATCAGGTTACAATTCAATAATAACTCTAGACAAAGAATTTATACTGCTCAGCTTTCATTTGAAAATAGCCCTCTAACAGTAAAGTATTTATTTCTATTGATAGGGGTACCTAAACGCTCAATCTCCTTTATACAGTATTTCCTAAAAATAGATTATTGTGTTCAATGACAAAGTTACCTGTATGTAATCTTTTGTGTTTTTTCAAAAAATACTTTGTTGTGAACATCTTTGAGCAAACATCACATTCCCACTGTTTATTATCTAATACTTTTGTCGTAGTTTGAGCATTTTTACTTTCCTCTATAGTCCCATTTTTGTCTTCAGACTTTTTTGATTCTACAGGCTCAGCAATGCTTTCGGTGCTTTCCGCGTTATTGGACCAAAAACCATAGTGTGCGACCCTTGAAATTAATTAAAACAGTTGGTTAAAGAATGTTGTCAGAAAAAAAGAAGAACAGATTCGGCACGTTAAAATAAGAAATTTCTCGAAATGTATTGCAAATCCGACTAGCTTTTGTAAATGATTAGTATCAGTATCTACTTTAAGCCGCCCCTTGGAGTTTTTTGATCAGACGTACCATATTCGAAATAAAAATTTATTCTTGGACCGATACCATTGTTCAACGCTTTCTTTAGATATCCATCCTAATGCTGTATTCAAGCATCCAAAAAATTATTTGTGATGAGATACCATGGCATCATGAATGTGAATTTATCACTGCTATGTTCCTCGACCCGTAATAATTAGAAATCTAATATGACAAGTTTAGCGTCTCCTAGATGGCGTGGTAGCCAACTATATGAGCAAACGATAATTATTCTTGCAAAAACTAGAGGACAAAGTTTCAACAACTCGTATTACGGAATTTTGGAACTCATGGTTATGCGGGCTTCTGTTCAAATTTTTTCGTTCTGAATCCGTCCGATAGTGTTCTATAACAGCCTGTCGAATTTCCTACCTGAGATGAACCATTAAACTACCCCTCATCTTAAACTTCTTGCTACATAGATGGCAGTGATAGCTATAAACGCCCTTTTTATCTGGACTAGTCTGATGCAGCAGCTTTTGGTGCATATCCAGGATATTTTTATCCGTGAAACAAAAATTGCAAATGTCACATCTGACAACTTCCAAGTCTTCAGGCTTCTGTTGCAAGTCGTCTTCAGTATTACAACTGGGGATTGACGTGAGTTCTGTGCTTTGTATTCTATCAATGCTCTTGTCGATCTCTTCGGCAATGATTTGTTGGCTGTCATTGGGAACTGGCACACCTTAATTAAATAGATATCATGAGCATGATGAATTTGTGTTTAACAGTTTTTACAATAGATCGGTTCTAGAAAACAACCCTAACTTTTTGGACCGAAGTGGAGAGATGGAAGATATTTTTCACAAAAAAATGTAGTGAAGATTATTTGCATTGGTTTTTGTTGAGCTCCGCAGCAAAATGATATAATCAGTAAAACCAACCATTCAGGTCATACCAGAAACAAAATTCTAGACCTAGACTCAACAGTTTACTTGCGCTTCATAAAGTTTATAGTCCAATTTTTCTCAGAATTTAATAAAATTAAAAATATCTCCTGATCTATAAAATATCGTAACACTCACATAGGGGTTTTCACTGAGTATAAAAATTCGAGTTATTTCTATGGGCAAACGCGAGCAACACCTTAAAGAAACCATTGATTGTGAATCACTTTTACAATATGACGTTACTTTTGCCCTGCTTTGTATTTTTTGAGATTTAATTTTAGCTCGCATCATAAAAAAAACTGCATACTTTTATTTCAACTCACCATCGACAACTGCATCTTTCTTATTCCCTTGTTCCTCGCTGGCCACGTGTGCAAACAAGTGTATGGTCAGCTTATCCAATCCGACGACAGTCTCAACACACACGGGGCACTTGAGCAGGGATGTCGCGACAGCCACAAGCGTGGCTCTAAGGGCGTCCACACCCTCAAAGTGAGGGTTAAGGCACAACGGGCACTGAATAGGAGTAGATCGTAGTTCCATTTTCGTGTTTTTGTGACGTTTTGCGTGCAGGTATTTTTAGCGATTTGGGAATTCGGGTACGGCGCTCGGGTTATTTTTAGGACGGCTCGGAAGCGGCGGTTAAGAAATGAGAAGCTAGTCAAGTAGGTTAACTCAGTACGATGTCTACCAAGTAGAATACGACTGCTTGTATTACGACGTCCTCGTAAGGAAAGGAAATTCTCCTTCACCATGTGTTTGATTTGGGAATCTTCCCTCTGAGAGTAAACGGTGCAAGTCCATAAAAATGCTGCAAAATGGCGCCCAGTCGCTATCTTGAAATATTCAACATCTATTTTTACTCTCAAATATAGTTTGCATGCATTTTCATTAAACCGAGTTTCAGCTTTCTAACTTGCTTGGTTAAAAATTAGAAAAACAAATGTTTACAATAACATTACCTCCTCAGATGTTTTGGGATTTTGTTATTGGATATTTGAATATTTAGGAACACTGGCAAGATTGAGGATTTCATTTTTTCATATTATTTTCAAGATCGACAATGACATAATTCGGACTTTTTCAAATATTGTATCGCCTATATCCCGAAAACTATGAACTTTAGAGACAAGTCCAGAACTTTTTTTGTTCAGAATGTTCTATGAAAACTCAAAAACGCTGTGAACGGAGCCAATGATTTTTGAAATTTATTTGAGAAACAGTTTGGACGCAAATTCAAATTTGGGTCTGGCAACATACAGGTTCGTTAAGAAAGGCCCTATCTACAGAACATAACACTGTATGGAAACAATATTTCTAAAGTACAGTGATCACTTGTACACTATTAACTTCCCGTGGCTTTGACTTGATAATTTCTTTCAAAACAACGGGAAAAAACAAACCAAGATTGATTTAAGGTGATCTTTCTTTCAGTTAAATCTTCCGTTGAATCATCAGTAGGATTGGGACAATGAGCATTGGATAGAGGAAAACAACTTCCAAACAAGTAACAACTATATTTAACTTGAAAATGAAGACAATATAACTGTATAAAAATCGCCCAGGTCGTCGAACCCAATGATATCCTATGAGCTACTGACGTCACAACCTATACTGACGCATACAGAAGCATAAACTTATAAGTCGATCTTAAACATACGATTACAAAATGTAAAATTAGAGCCAGAGCCGGTTCGCGGCTTGATGGGTTAATATAAAACTAAAAGCAAAAAATGTATTTCATTAATGAAGTGGAAAACTATTGTTTGGATCTCTTTTCAATTTGCACAAATTTTATATCTAAAGGCCGTATCGTCAGTCGTCCATTCAATAAATTGTAGGACGCCTTTATGTCCTTGATTTTCATAGTTTTCTACTCTTATGTGCAGTGTTCTCTTTTGAGGTTATGTTACAAGTCTATTTGCATCAGATTGTTCATGCTTTTAATTTTTATCATCTGTTATATAGCCTGGAATTTCCTGCAATTCAAAAAGAAAACATAGTCTTACAATAGGAAAGCGCTGACGCTGACACGGAACAGTAGAAATCTAGAAATACACCAGCCTTTCAGCAGGAGAGAAAATACTATGAAAATCAAGGAGGCCATAAAGGCGTCCTACAATTGTAGTCTTTTCTCTGCTTCAGGAAGGCTGGGGTATTTCTAGATTTCTACTGTTCCGTGTCAGCGTCAGCGCTTTCCTATTGTGAGGCTGTTGATTGTAGAAAAATTCAGGCTGATATAAATCAAAAGCATGAACAGTTTGATGCAAATAGATATTTGTAACATAACCTCAAAATAGAGCGCTGACACGGAACAGTAGAAAACCATGAAAATCAAGGCGGCCATAAAGGCGTCCTATAATAGTGGGAACGACTGACGATACGCACCTTAGTCCAATACGGTCTATGGGGGACCAGCTCTAACTATAGTAAAGATATATTTGTTTCTTTATATAGCGAAACATTCACACATAATATACTGATTATGTTTTAATAATTATTAAAAAAAAATGGCTATTATTGCCTTGAAATAACACTTTTTCGAGAATCTTTGTACGGATCTTAGAGCTATTTGAAATTGAAAGATATGTATCTTTCACCCAGAAATCATCTGAAATTATGATCGACTACTAAAAAATATAGACCTACCTACCTATTTACATATTTTTTGGAAGACATCTCCTGGGCAATTTGCCATGTTGCATCTCCCTCAATGGAGGCTATTAAATCTCCGAAAATCTATAGTTGGTATTCAGTACCGTTGATAAGTTAACAGCGGGTAAATGTGCTTAGCAACATTTCCATGACATGAGAAAAATTATTTACTAGGTTATTTTTATGCAAAAATGCAATATGACAAATAGTCGGACGACTATGAAGCTGTAACAATTGACAACGTCGCTTAAGTTGCGTCAACGCGTCATTCATAATAATGTGTCATTGTGAGTTTCCGTGTTGACGGTTGTAACTTGCCATTCGAATTTTCTTTATTTTTATCCGCAATGATTTTTTGCGTGTTTGTAAAATTAGTAACGATGTAACACTGCTACATGTGTCAAATGATAGCCTACTAAACAGAAGAACATGTTTCGTTTCATAGGTAAGTATGGGTTATGTTTATGTTTTGTTTTCACTCCGCCCTCGCCCATCGACATGAGCACAACTTATTTTTGATTTTATGAATGAACTGAGAGGTCTATATTTTTTAGCAGTCGTTCGAAGTTAAGTTACAACTTAAAAAAAACTGCACCGAACATTTTATATTACCAGTTTCTTTTTTATTGGAGTAGCTAAAGACAAGCATCAAGTACACTGCTTAATTGTGTAATTTTTTTTATTGAACATCTCAAGATCCGGTCAAAGCTGAGAAGATATATACAAACGAGTTTTTGATAATTTACAGCCAGATTTGAAAAAGAAGGTACGAACTATAGGCTTCAAAGTACATTGGGAGAAAAAACCCACATATGGGAAAAAACCCAACGTCGTATCGTGTTTAAAATTCAAACTTGAAGAAAACTAAAGTTTCAAACAGAAATAAATGTACAATAGCTAGAGAGGTAGCAACATCATAGTTTCAATAATTCTACCGAAAACTGTAGCTCAACAGCTAGTTGGAAATAATCAGGCAACCAGTGACAAACTTTTTCCTACTCTGTAGTAACTAAGTTCGCTTTGGCTGAAGGTAAATCATAATTTTTAATAGCGACAATTTAAAAAAATATATCAATATCAAAATTAGCGTTGCATCTCTAACTAAGAATACTCTAAGCAAGTTCTTTTATTCTAGAGTAAATTCGCAGTAGTGGCAAATATGGAAAACTGTGGTATGCCACACTGTTGCCAATAATGTTTTACTACACTTCTACTAGCAATAAAGGTTAAGTGACCAATTATTTCTATAGTTTATGAAGTATCTCTGTATATGTAACAATAACGTGTTCGGAAAGTTGAAATTTTAATATTTTTTAAAACGCCCACGTGTTTGAGTTTTGTAACATATTATCGATTTATTACTACCAGAAGACTACTATGTCAGCCACAATCAAAAAGAAAATTTTAGTCAACGAATGGCTTTCTGTACGTTAATATGGATCCATTTCGATGACGTTACTATTAAAAATGTAATATAAAAACGAAGAGCAAAATTGGTCAAATGCAATCCCAAGTTTTAATCAACGATGATGCATGGAATAATTATTGCTTGATACTAAAACTATTGCACTCCTGGAAAAATTCGAAGCATATCTTTGCATCAGACAGCAACGAGAACTGCATAGGCCTGACATTAGTAGCTCTCGGTTTACATCTTAAAAATATGTTCCTCCCCGATTTCTTAATCTATGTTGAATATTTTGTTCAACTCTTTAAGGTCCCTCCGATCAACCAGAGGTTTGAGTTCGCCCTGGTTCATCAGAGACACACACATCCTTAACGTCGACCAAATCGTGTCCGACATTTGCGACGCGGAACCGGAGTTCATGACGTCTTTGCCTCTGGCCTGCTGGTTCAGAGCTGTCAAGAAATGCTCGGCCGCTTCCCTGGGAAAAAAATTACGTCAAATTGGTTGACTCTCTTTTCATGCAATAGAAGCTTAGGCTTTACTGATTAATCCATAAAACTGTTAACTTATAACGGATACCAGTCTCAGGAGTATTTGGCCACTCAGGGGTGCCCCAATGGTCAAATTTGGGCCCTCTCCTGTTTCTACTATTTATCAATGATCTCTGTGATTAGCTTAAATGTGGTGCTTTGCTGTTCGCTGACGACTTTAAGTATTTTGTCAAATTAACGACATAAATGATTGTAAACATCTACAATCTCAGCTCCATAACCTTCCGAGATGTTGCAGTATGAATAAGCGACATAATCCGGGATCTTGAGCGTTCAAATCGTCGGTTGATGGTCAAAATGATCGGGGAAGAGTTACCGTTCATCGGATAAAGACAGTTCTTAAAAAAAGTGTCAACTAGCCAATTCTAGGCAAATGGACTATGCATCAAGAGTATCCAGGTAATACTATATTTTATAACGAAGATCAACAAGTGAGATGCCACACTGACAGTGTCAAGCATAATTGCAGAACACTCACATATTTCAAGAAAAATTTTGAGGCAAACCTAAACGTATTTCTCTGATCACACAAACAAATGTCCATACTCAAAATCAGGTGACTTGTATATGTATGTGGGAGATAGTGATATGAAAGTGACTTTGGCAGTTTTACTGTAACCCGCCAAAAAACGTTAAAAAAATTATAATTATTTCTATCGAATAAATTATATGTTGCGCCTTATTCTCTCCGAACTGAGCGGTGTGATCGGACCAACCACTGATGAAATGCTGGACGGTTGTGTATTGTTGCGTAAGCGGTGTTGCTAGAACTGCCTACGTAAATATATAGGAAATATCGTGGTAAAGTGGTAAAAAACAGAACATATCTACATACCTATACGCATTTAGATTGATACAAGTGATTCCGACATTATACCTGGCCCTGATAAAACCAGGCACAATGTTCAAAGCGTGATGATAAGCATCTACAGCTTCCTCTGGCCTTGAACCATTAGCTAAAGTTGCACCTAACCTATTCCAAAGCCGTGCGTCCTGAAAATATACATTTTATTTCAAAAATGTCTGACCAATGTGGTATTAAATTTTAGGTAAGTCCGTCCATAGTTTTATGAGAACAATGTGAATATTTGGAGTAGAGTAAGATGTAGTGGTAGCTCATTAGTTGTTGGGTATTAAGTTTAGTAATGTTTAAAAGTGAATAATTTGCAAAGACGACTTACGTCCGGTTTTACAGAAAGCGCAGCGGTAAAACAATCAGCAGCTTTGTTGTATTCCCCAGACAGATTGAACAGAACACCTAAGCCGCATTGTATCTCATAATCAATATCCTTGGGATTTCGTTGCGCAGCTTTGATGAACAGATCCTGCACCTGCTTGTGCTGACTCCTAGACATTGAAAATATTGGAAAAATTAATATATTATGTCAAATTTATTAACAGTATACAATATTTACCAACTACTATAATCTCAAGATATACCATATTAATGAGATAGCTGCCTTGATACGCCTGTGTCAAAGTACAGATGACCTAATAAATGGATTGTTAGGTATAAACGACAAAGGCCAGTAATTCCAATGGTTGGCAGATAGCAATCAATATGGAATCCAAATAAAAAATGTGCACATTTTTAAACATCATTGTATGTGGTGTAAATGTGTATAGGTTCGAGTATTACCATCACCAGAATCTTTTCCAAAACCACAACTATTGTTGGGTGAAACTAAGGAATCTTGGGTTTGTTAAGCTTGTGTATATTACTATTAGCGAAATATAGATGGTCCTATAACAAAAATGGAGTAATACTTCTATCTTCCCAGTATTATATGTGTATATAAATTGTACGAGTACACAAACACTGTTATAAAAACACAAATGTTAGGAACACACTATGAAAAGCTAAACTGCAAAGCTAAGCTACTTTAGTAGTCACTTAGTCAAGCTATATACAAAGCAGTACAAAGAAAGGTAAATCTCACCAGAATTAAATCTATTCAACACTTAAAATGCAACAAAACTGAAAAAATTAAAAAACGATTATAAAAAATCAAAAACTAATACTGAGCAATATCACCTGAATAAAAATGTATCCCAGATTGATCTTGACTTCACAAGCCAATAAATAGAACCACATATGTTTACAAAATAAGCTTTATATATCATGAAAACGAGAAAATTAACTCGTCAACCAGAAATGACGTGTTATTAAACCAACTGATAATCCCATGATTGGTCGCTAATCAGTGATGATACATCATTATGTACGCGTATACAATTGGAATTTTGGATGTCTTGATATTCATGTATAAAATCATCATACTTCAGTTAGGTCACTTGCATATTTTCATCGCTTGTAGAAGTGATTTTTGAACAATTAGAAAATGTATCAATATACAAGTAGATATGCATTAGTTAGTGGAAACAAAACCCATCCATCTCACTGATCTCATTCAGCGTCGTCAGCTTCGTCAAGTCAATATTTAGATAGGCAAGGCCGTTGTCAGTGAATAGTAAGGAGTAACACATGCTTTTTTGCTACTTTTTCTTACCATACCCATAGAAATTGATAAAAATGCGCGTCGATAGCCGATAAGAAAAATCAACTTATCTGTGCGAATTTCAGCGACATGTAGCCGAGTTAGACTTTTTACAGATACAGTACTCTACGGGATATTTTAGTCTGCAAGGCCCTCGTATAGCTGGGACCTTGGGTGGCGGTGGAGCGCTTTCGTAATGTCGACGTTTAGGCAACCAGTTATGCGACCATGCATGAGCGCTCTCTTGAACGGCCGAGATTCACGAATCCTCGAGACCCGCCTGGAAACACTTACCGCCATCTACCAGTTTCGAGGAAGAATCGAATTTTTGCTAGAAAATGCTGGAGTTCATCGGGAACCGTCGGTTGACGACATAAATATCCGGCCAGACGGCAGTCACAGTGGAGACAGGCAAACGCGCGGAAATAAGATGAAATAATAGTCCAGTCCACATAGTTATAAATGTGTTATAAATTAGTTGCAAGTGTCAAAGAAATAAATTAGTCTTTGGACAGTAAAAACGGTGTTTTCGTTACACTTCATCATTGTATACACATTGTATATGCAATGTTTACATGAAACCGCATATCTTTGAATCGTCATTTGTACTTTGGTGGCCGAAACGTCAATAAAAAGCAATTCAAACATATGTGGTTTCATTTAGCGTCCAAAAAATCATGGAATCTTATCAGCATGAAAACTGGAGAGTAAATTTCAGGTGATACCGAATGTACTGATAACTGTAAAAGTGGAAATATTATGCTCATGCATTAATGATATCTAAATTGGAAACTCAATGATGTGGGAGCAATTATTGAATTCACTAAAAAAAGTTGAAGCTTCACAGCAAATAAAATTACTTTTCCTATACTTCTTCCCTCTAATGATTCTACACAACAGATTTTTTTTTCATAAAATATAGCCCGGAAATAAAGAACCATTTCAGATAACGAGATCCACCACCTTACTGACTTGCATTACCCATGCTACAAGCACACTTACGGATCTAGCAAACTGGTAACTTGCCCCGATATCCTGAGGTCTCCGGACTCGACTAAGTCCTTGTACTTAGGATTGTACTTCAGCCAGTTTAACAGAGCCAAGCATGCTTGATTGTAGTAACTCTCGTTCGTGTAGCACACAGCTAAGGCCATCAAGGCGCGCAAGTCGGTCGGTTCCAGCTCCAGGCACTTGTTCAGGGCCGCTATTGCTTGAGGATCCTGAGAAAAAAACGTCGAAACAACTTCTAGTACAATTTTCTTTGTAGTGCAATGACATTGAAAATGCGTAGTTTTTGTCAAAATCAGTAATGCACTATTTGGGCTTTTCATGAAAAAAAATCCCGGATTGCAGCAATGAGTGTATCCGTACATTTCTTTGCAGGTCTAGTGTAAAACTGCTTGTCTGCTCGAAATATTGTTCTAAATTCTACTGTATGGGGAAATCAGTGGTATGTAAAATAAGTCGAACAGGTGCGTAAAATTATCGGGGTTGGAAGTGTATTTCACTATACTAAGATCAAAAAATTGCGAGACATCCTCCCTCATCCCTCCAATTTTTTACTCCTAAACGGTTTTTCAAAAATGATCAGGATCTTCTACAAAAGTATGAGCGTTTTTTTTTTCTGTAGAGCTGCCGCCACTGAACGGATTTTGAAAAACTTAAAAGTTTTTTGTCCTTTGCAAAGTAGTACCCTTGTTTGCAAATTCCATCAAAATCCCAGTCAGATGATTTGTCGTGAACATCCAAAAAACCTCTCATTTTCGAAACTTACTCGTCAGTATGACATGGGAAGTGAAAACAATATTTAATTTCATCATGAAGATCTAAGCATTTGCTGGTGCTGTGGAGCTATAGGAAGAAACAACCTTAAAGTACTATTTTTACACAACAAGCATGAAAATAAAAGCAGCATTATTAACATAGAGTTACCTGTTCATTTTCAGCCTGAGTGGTTCCCAATAACAACCAAGCTTCTGCATTATTGCTCTCTTGTTTTACTGCAGCTTCAAAGCAAAGGACTGCACTGGGAAAATCACCTTCTTCCAGAAATTGTTTGCCTTTTTCTAGTGGCTTGGGAGTCTCTAGCATGGGGTTTTCATCACTAAATTCATACTCCTTCAAAAAATCGTATTGTTGAAAAAAATTAATTATATTGTTAGTAAAATAAAAATATAGTACTTGTATTTCAACTCTTTTTAATGTTACCATTTAAAATTCTCAAGTAGTTATGGTAAATTAGTTTAGATAAAAGAAACTGGACAATATTTCCTTATTTTCGGTATCAGACTAGACATAGACTGTTTTTTCATTACCTTTGGTGGAGTGTTGTAATATGTGTTGAATTCATCCATCCATGGATGAGGTGCATCATTTCCTAATTCAGCTGTCTTTTTCATGTCTTCTTGGAACTGATCCCAAAATGTTGAATTGTAATCATCATCTGCAAAAATATTCTGTGTAAAAATAATCAGTTGAATGATCCTTTAAGAATTAAAAATGTGATATGCAAATACAGTGAAAGCTCTCCTTGCGGACAGCTCCTATAAGCGGACATCTCTTTTAACCGGACAAAGTTCCTGGAACCGAATTTCAGCCATCAATTTTCAATGTTAAATGCATTCCGATAAACGGACGCTCTTATAAACGGACGCGGACACTAGATTTTCCTGTATGTGATCAAAAAATCTCCCATAAGCGGACGCGAAACTCTAATACCCGGACGATTTTTTAGTTCCGCTTATTGCAATGCACATATCTACATACATAAAATTCGGTAATTCCCCGATTTATATTAGGTGATTCCCCATTTACGCATTTCGTTGTGTAGCCTGTATGTAATCTTGTGGCTTGTCTTCAGTTCAGGCAAATTCGTAGTTGATTGAGTTACGTATTTTATTATTGTAACTGTAAAATGGCACCAAAAAAAAGGATGCTCTCGTTAAAGGAAAAGATGGAAGTTGTTAACGTATTAGACAGAGAAAGTGTTTCAGTTCGTCATTTGGCAAAGAGGTTTAATATTGGGAAAACGCAAGCAGCTGAAATTGCCAAAAATAAGGAAGATATCAGGAGTAAATGGCAATCAGGAACTAATATAAATCAAAAGAAGGATTTTTTAAAAAAGGAAGGTTTTGCTATAGACAAAACATGTTTTGAGTGGTTTGTGAAAGCTAGAAATCAGAACATTCCAATCTCAGGGTCGTTAGTGAAAATGAAAGCTAAAGAAATCGCCACTACTTTGGGCTATAATAATTTCAGTGCGTCCGACGGGTGGCTGCAAAAGTGGCGCAAGAGACATAGTGTGAGTTTCAAATGCATATCTGGCGAAGCTGCTGCAGTAGATCAAGTTGATGTGTCACAATTTTTGGAGAAACTTCCGTCCATGTTGCTTGGCTACAAACCAGAAGATGTGTACAACGCAGATGAGAGTGGACTTTTTTTCGCGCATTGCCCGACAAAACTCTGTCCTTCAAAGGAGAAACATGTGTGGGTGGAAAGTTGTCTAAAGATAGACTAACCATTTTATTCTGTGCAAATATGGCCGGTGAAAAATGCGATTTGATTGTGATCGGGAAAGCGGCTCGTCCCCGTGCTTTAAAAAACGTTGCTATTAAGGATCTACCAGCGACTTGGAAATCCAACAAAAAGGCATGGATGACCCGAGAAATCATGTCTGAGTGGTTAGTCGAATTCGACCGGAAAATGAGAATCCAAAAAAGGCAAGTTCTTTTATTTTTAGACAATGCATGCTCTCATCCTCGTGATATGAAAATGAAAAATGTGAAAATTATATTTTTACCGCCAAACACAACTTCTGTTTGTCAGCCCATGAATCAAGGTGTCATACAGAACTTTAAATTTTATTATCGGCACTTGATTTTAAAACATATTTTAACAAAAATTGACGATGGTCAAAGCTTATCTGAGCTTACAAAGTCTATCAATGTGTTAGAAGCTTTGTATTTTATAAAAACAGCATGGAAGAAAGTAAATTCCTCTACAATTAAAAACTGTTTTGGCAAAGCTGGATTCAGAAAAAGTGAATGTAGCTCAGAATTTGCTGAGCAAAATTATTGCGATGCTGAAGACGATCTGCCCTTAGCGACACTTGCTCAGTTACTGCGACATGCCAAACATTTAGGAGTAGCAGATCCCCAGAAAGTAGATGATTTCCTGGCCATAGACAATAACATAACAACAGAAGAAAATGCCATTGGCAACTTTTCGAATTTGGATGTAGAAATCCCAGGCCAACTTGAATATGGTAGTCCAAACGACTCAGAAGAAGAAGTGGAACTGGTGGACTCACTAAGCGGTTCAAAAACGATAAATTCATATGGGGAAGCTCTAAATCATATTTCTATATTGAAAAAATTTGCTAAAGATGATTTCACTGCATTTCAACATTTGAAAAATTTAGAAAGTTATTACGAAAATTGTCTCCTTCAGCAAAAGATGGTGAAATTTCATCAGACAAACATTTTAAACTTTTTTCAACAAGCTAAAGAATAATGTTTTTTTTTAAATTCTCGTACCATGTATTGAAGCATTTATGTTTTTGTATGCTTATATGTACATATATTATATAGATATATAGCATAAATACATACTTTAAAAATGTGGCGAGTTTCTGTTTCATATTTCTCATGATTATAATACCTCATTTCCTCATGATTATATACCCCGTTATTTATACTCTATACTTACATACTCTCTTTTAAACGGACACCTCCCATAAGCGGACAAAAGTTACGGAACCGTGAGTGTCCGCTTATGGGAGCTTTCACTGTATATCAAATAAAACAAAGAGCTGGCACTAAAACAATTGGAGTAAAAACAGTTGCGGTTTTGTGTGAAAGTTACCCTTTGTTTTGACATGTTCCTCAGCCCATTTCCTTGCTAGCAATGAGTCAGCATCCTCTTGTACTTTGTCATCAAAATATTCTTTTGTCCATGCTTCTGCCTCAGCTTCTGTCAACTTACCACCACCAACATCTACCTGTGTATCTTGCTCAGTTTTCATAAATTTCATAAACTGAAATTCAGAAAATCCATGCATTAAACACCTTTGAGAAAATGAAAGAGTTTGATTCACCTCATTTTGGTTTCATCAAAGCTACAATGTCTATGCACTCAATTTTGAGATGACATGATCAGTTAATGTTACACTTTGGTTGTATATTAAACTGTTTTATTCTTAATATAAAGAAGTAATCAGACAATAAAATTCCTTACCTTTGAGTAAACAAACTTAGAATCTTCATTAGTAGAGTCCAGTTGATCTTCACTTAATGCAGCCTCAGCATTCAAAATTTCATGATTCCAAGCATTTGTTAATGACATGAAGTCATGTTCACTTTTTTCTTGGGACAATATCTCTGCCCAAACTGCTTCATTACCGTTTACTCCTTCCTTAAAGCCACAATACAAATTGAGGTTTAGTTTAACATAATCAAGGGAAACTGAAGAAATAAGCTAAAAAATTGTGTTTTGATAAAAGTTACATCCTAATCTTTAATTTTAAAATGAGGAAGAAGTATTTGCGATATCCGCTAAAGTATAGTCTTACCCAAAATATTGTATATTTCATTGTATTTAAATGATGTACCTATTGAGCTAAATAAATCTATCACTTATCAAGTGATCAAAGATTAATAAGCGTATATTTGATTCAAAATTGTGGTCTCACAATAATGCTTAATTTCACCATTTTATTTAGGTATGGAATACTCTGTAAAGGAGTTTATTTGGAGGACAATTCTTAAACTGGAACAAAACAATAATACCCCATTATTGTTATTAATTCAGGCGTACTTACATCAAACTTTTTGCCATCTTCAATATACTGTTGGGCCCAAGCCCCTTCTTGAACATCGTGCAGTTGATCTTTAACAGTGGAAGCAGGTACAGGGGGTAGGACTGACCTTTGAGACTCAATTTCGTGCATCTCCCGCATGAGATCTACAACATAATAAAATTACAAGGTATCATGAAGGTGTCATAGGAAAGCATACCGTCCATTCGGAAGGTCTGTGGAAGGGCTCTGGTTTCCTGCAGGAATTGCTCGACCAACTGGTCCGAGTTGGTCTGGAAGAGCTGCCCATGACTGTCTGCAAAGGTATGGTCAGATGTGATGTGTGAAGTTAGTCTCTGCAAGGGGTTGGCCTGGCCACATTCCGCCTCAGTTAATTGTCTGAATGCCATTGTGGTAATGCTTTTTCTTCACTTAATCTGCAAATTGTCTGCTACATTATACGCTAATCATCTTTATCAAAAGATTGGAAAAATCAACCCTGGAATTTGTTTTTGACAAATTTGACATTGACATTCACTGACAGTTGACATATGATGCATGCCTATTGCAGCTGAAACAGCTGCGTTCAGAATTACTATCGAGGAACGAACTCATGACGTCACACTTTTTCGAAAGAAACATTTGTGTTCTGGTCAGACAAAAGCTTTAATAGCGTTGCTCAGGTAGAAAGGGTCGTTGATAGCAGGTAATAATAGTTGTTGTTGGGGGTGGTTTGGTGAGCGTACGTATATAGTCAAAATCACGAAAGATGACTATTACGTCATACCCTAAATTGTACTGAAGTAATCAATGGACGTACATCGATGATAAAATCACGATGTCAGGAACATAATGACAACAAATTTATATTATAATTTTTCGAAGTTAGGTTATTTCACTGATTATTGAACATAACCTAACTATTCATCTTTCAAATATGATCGATCGTGCAACATAAAAACATCGTCTACCTTTGTCGGATACATGCAAATTAGCAATACAGTTTATTTAGACAATAAAATCCTGTTTGTCTCTGTCTAGCATATTACAAACTTCATTAAATATATTCACAAATCGCTGTCGTTTGCCTTTACTACAGACTAACATGCTGTCGTAATCGTCTTCTCTCGTGATTTCGACTATATATGGTAAATCATGTGGTTATCACCTCACCTCCTGGATGCAACGCAAGGCGGTCACGTTGGTGATCTGTTTTTTATAAGCAATAACCCCCAATACCATAATTTAGTGTGGTGCCCAGGAGATTTTCAAAGTCTCTTCCCTCATTCTAGATTTCTACTGTTCCGTGTCAGCGTCAGCGCTCTCCTATTGTGAATTTATGTTTTCTTTTTGACTCGTAGGAAATTGCAGGCTTATAAAACAGATTATATAAATCAAAAGCATGAACAATTTGATTTGAAAATAGATATTTGTGGCAACCTCAAAATAGAGACACGGAACAGTAGAAAATCAAGGCGTCCTACAATTGTAGGAACGACTGACGATACGGCCCTAAATGTTTGGCGGGCACGCTTTCAATTGAATTGGATACCTTCTGGTGAAATACGTCAATCACTGAGAATACTGAGAAATAAAACTATAAAAACAACATTTGATGAGTATATTTTTACATAATTAACACGTAAAAGTAATATCTTACAGTGCATCTGATATGTGGTAATCTACAGTCATTTTGAACAATTCGGAAAACTAGGTGTTAATGTTGTATTTACGAAAAAGTATTGAAAACTCCTGTTTAAATATAAATTGGGAATAAATACTTATATATAACAATTTGAGCTTATAGATTTATGCTAAATTAAAGGCAGCAAGTACAAGTGTTTGGGTCTCAATGGGAGCGTTCAGGTAACGTAAAGCAGACGAGCGCTTTTATCTTGAATAGTAGTAGTCATGGTCCTTCATGGGAAAACTTTCACAATTTGACACCAGTTATCGCTTGCGTGTCAGATTTTGACTAGATAGAGGAGGTTAAACTCATAAAGTGCCGTTGAAGTAAAAAATGTCGAGCATGAAGTAAGTTAGTACACTGCGCATGAAATTAATTGAGGTGTTGCGCATAGGGCACCTCTCTCGTGTGTACACTGCGCAGAAAGAGAATTTTAGTTCTGCGCATGTGGCATCTCTGTCTGTTGCTGTCATCATGACTGTAAACAACTCCAATTTTGACTGTTCGTACGAGTTGCAAGCAGAAATATTGGATAATATTAATTAACCACGAAGTATGTGATAAACCTACAAAGCATGGTAAAACTTAGTGAAATCGCAGATGTTCGACGCCCACCAAATTTGCGAGAGACGACATTTAACCTCCTATCTCTAGTCTTCGCGATGTTGACTAAATGTTGCGAACTGTGAAAGCTATTCCACGGCTACTGCTATTCAGCGTATGCTTTATGTTTGCTGAACGCTCCCATTGTCTTGGATGTTAAACATAGCTTTCTTTACAAGGGGTCTTTATAAGAAAGTTGCATTTGATTAAAATAACAAAAATAGAAACGCTACAGCATCATGCATTGTCTCGTCCTGGGCTTTTTATTCTTATATCTTAAATAAACCCTAATGGCCTCCACGAAGATTTCGTCGAGTCCCTGACATCTCAGGGCTGAGCATTCCATGTAGCCTTGTGCCTTCACCTTTCTTTTCAGTTTTCTGCCATCTTCTGGGGTATAACATGCTATGCTAGGGTCGTCCCTTAAATCTGTTTTTGTTGCTGAAAGTAAGAAAAGTTCTCTAGCAATACTGGATAAACTGTCACATAAGGATAACCTAGTGGTCAAAGTTAACCATATATAATAAAAAATAAATTACTATCGAAGTACTACCAAGACAAATGAGCTACGTGTGTTAGAAATTTGCATATGTTTTTGTTGTTTATACATACCAACTAAGATCATAGGAACATTCGGACTGAAATGCCGTACCTCTGGCACCCATTTTATTGCAACATTGTCGTAAGATGCCAAATTCTTATCCACCGAAAAACAAACTAGGAAACAGTTTGTCTGCAACAAATATAAATAATTATATAAATTATAAGCGTCTATACTTGGTGTCTAATTTTCATGATCATTGATATCTACTTACGTGAGGGTAAGATAATGGTCGAAGTCTTTCGTAATCTTCTTGACCTGCAGTGTCCCATAATGTGACATTGTAGTCTACGTCATCGACAGTGATTTTTTGGCCGTAATGCTCAAATCTGCAAAATACTTAGCGATAATTGAGAAGCCTCTATTTTTGGCCGTATATGCTTTTGCAAAATCTCGCAAAATGACTCGCTACCATGATCTTAAAGTTCTTCATTAGTTGCAATATAAACATTGACTAACACAGGTATTCTAACTGAGAATTTGTCATATAGTCGAATTCACGAAAGATGACGATTACGTCATCATTTTAGTCTGTAGTAAAGACAAACGACAGCGATTTGTGAATATATTTAATGAAGTTTCTGATATGTTAGACAGAGACAAACAGAATTTTATTGTCTAAACAAACTGTATTGCTAATTTGCATGTATCCGACAAAGATATACGATGTTTTCATGTTGCATGATCGATCATATTTGAAAGATGAATAGTTAGGTTATGTTAAAGTATGTTATGTTGTTTTCGAATAATACTTTCGTCTTTGGTATTCCTGTCTTAAGGTATTCTACTCATAACTGTTTTTTTCAAAACAAAAACTCGCCACTATAATTATTATTATTAAGGTATCACTCTAAACCATGAAATAAAATGAAAATAAAAATAATCAGTGAAATAACCTAACTTCGTAAAATCATAATATAAATTTGTTGTCATTATGTTCCTGACATCGTGATTTTATCATCGAGGTACGACCATTGTATTACTTCAGTACAATTTAGGGTATGACGTAATAGTCATCTTTCGTGATTTTGACTGTAACTATCTTTCTTTTCTCCACAATAGTTTGTAATCTTATTTGAAAACATTAGTGTCTGATAGATGGCGCCGTAGCCAAAATTTCTAAAGTATAGACATCTAAATATTGCGGAAAGATAGGTGTGACAAATTCTGATAGATGGCGCCAGGCTATCTCATTTTTTCTCCGATAACTTTTTGAGCGCGGGAGCATGGCATTAGAATACATTAATCATTGATTTTATATGATATATATCATGTGAATCAACGTGTATTTCGTTCTATACTCACACTGTGGGCACGTATTCACTGGGAAACTCCCCCGTCGTGTATGTGCTGAGCATGCAGGTCTTGCCGACGATGCCGTCGCCCACGGCCGTTATCTTCACGGACGTCATCTTCAACGTCGCCTGCGTAGATGCTTCTGATGATGCTGGAATGGAAAAGGACACCTTCACTTTTCTAATATAAACATCCTCAGATACAACGTGAGGTGTTTGTCGTAAGTATGACGGCATTTAGCCGCAGGCTAAACAAGAATCTGTTGTGGTTTTCCGTATATACCGAGTGTACAAAAAGTAAAAATTGAAGAAAAATGGCATCAAAAGTATAAACTATACGAGGTGTGATCAGTATGCTGAGAGACGACTCTTATTTTCAGGTTAACTAAAAATCTATTGTGCTTTGTATATACCCAGTGTGCAAAAATGACAATAATCATTTTATTTTTATAATAGTCTGACCCACAACCACCCACGCAGTGGTACTAAAAAAGAAAACTTACCTATTCATTATATACCTGGTGGAACATAAGTAACGGAGCGGCACTGTATTTTTTTAAAAGGTCAAGGTCAGGACAGTACCAGTAGTTGGACAAATCTTATTGGTAAAAACTTGAGTGTTTGAAATCCTATTCTTGCTGGTAATTGCTACTAGATTCAGCAACTAATTTGTCACAGTTTTCAAAAATTTCATATCCACAGTTGTCATATTGACAATTTTTGTCAGTTGTCAGTTAAAGGCAAGTGGAATGGTCAGCTGATAATAAATGCTGCTCTTGTTACATATGCAGAAGACATTAAAAATTTGCGAAATAAATTAATCTTAATATGTTATTTTAACATTTTGAGGTCAAATTGTAGTGGTCGCTGACTGGGTCATTAAACTCATCAAAATCCAATACGACTACAGAAATGGCGTGGTTGTTATCAGTCTAGCTTTTTCTGACTAAACATCGAGACTATCAAACTTCTATCTTGAAATTAAACAAACCGAAATAAGACTGAAGCCCCACCTACTGGACGGATAGCGAAAGATAACAAATAATGTAGATTATGGGCAGTGATATTGTGTCCGACTACTGGAATGAATTAATTTTCATTGCATCCCAATAACTGGCCACTTACATTTACCAACAATTTTTCCACGCGACATTTCCACTTCCTTCGGGAATGGATACCAGGAAAAAAATTAATTTCGTATATATGGTGAAGGGAGGTTGAAGAAGACGGTCGAAGCTGTGAGAAATTTTGGGAAATTGCTGGAATATGCAAACAGAATGGTAGTTCAAAGTCGACCGTGCAGGACCGGATTAAAGGGAAAAATTAGTTTCTTGTTAATTTTTATGTAGTTTGGATGTATTTTTCATAAAAATATCTATATTAAATCTCCTCCAAAAACATTAGATTCGATATCTTGAACACAAAATTCGTAATTACAATATGTATTCCACTTTTGTTTAAATTGTCCGACCACTGTCATATTCACCCTAGTAATTTTGAACTTTAAGCAAGAAATTCTTGTGTGGGCTTGGGTTTGACATTGAGCCTCATCTTCAAGATCATAATACTACATACAAAAGTATTACGAAAGCATTCAGAAAAGCTCCTTCTGCATTACTCATTATCAACTGTCCAGTTTTGAAATTACCATACCTGTATAAAACATCCTCGTATACAACAGGAACTGACGTTATTCACCTACTTTTGTATGATGATATTTATGAAGAGATTAAATACATGTGTTGTGGTTTTCTATATTCCAAGACTACAAAAACAAAATGTGCGTCTAGCGATATGATTCACACAAATTCATACATAATGAGAGGGAGTGTTACGTCGATTTAGCAATTTTAGTACCGACACTTCCGCTGGCCTGTCTGTCTGTCCATCCGTTAATCCTTGGGTCGTTTATAATTTGGAAAGTACCGCTCTCGGACTTGGATAAAATTTTCACACAAGGTACCAAGGACGAAACATCTTTGTAGCTCGTTTCCTGACGTTCCTAACCATTTTCAAAACATTTTGTCGGGGTTAAAAGTTGGGAGTTGTAGCGGGTGTGAGAGGGTATTCTCCTTAAAACTTCGAATGATGGAGAGATATTTTCAATACACGCGTCCTTGAGACAACTCGGCGAACATACATACATATACCTGCTTCGAGGGTTGACCTATATGTTTCCGATGGGTGGTTACGACATGCCGTACTGGGTGGGAAAGTTGCGAAATCAGCCAAGCCAGCATTGCCAGATGAGCAGTACTGTGGATAGATCAGGGGAGAAATGTCTAGAGCGTAGCGTTGTCAAATGCGTGGGGACTATATTCATTGAATCCCTTTGTTGTACATATTCGTAGCAAACTTTTATCTCTCAGCTTTGAACTGAGGACATGATTGCGTGGGAAGTGCAGAGTCAACCTACTTGACGTCATTTTCTTAAACTCAAAAGTAGCTGCAAAGGTCAGTCCGTCCACGTTAAAAACTTGGGCTTGCTTTTTGAATATCTGAGGATGAATATTTCATGAACATCAAAATCTATGAACCCACAGAAGTCCAAGTGTCCATTTAGATTTTGGCTACTCCTTATTTGACAGAGTACAGTATATTACGCCCTAGAAAAATATAACTTGCATTTTGCGCCCAGAGAGAAAACCGCTATCCGTATTTACCGAGGATTAGAAACCTCCAAGAAAAATTCACATTTGCATGTTTTTATACACACCCGGTATAAGCTGACAGATGCAGAATTATACGATCCCTTCCTGATTTTGCTGAAAATGTCAAATGAGCACATTTCGTAGGTATATAAATATAGTGTTATTTAACGTTTTTAATTTCGACATTCTTGCATACGAGCATTGCGAACGTAGTATATTTACACATTTGCGATTCGCGTATACGTACCGACTTGAACGCTATAATATTCATGAGACAATAAATTATTGAAATGTTGTCGATACGAATACAAAGATTAAGGCCCGTATCGTCAGTCATCCCTACAATTGTAGGGCGCCTTTATGGCCTCCTTGATTGTCATAGTTTTCTACTTCTCCGTGTCAGAACTCTATTTTGAGGTTATGTCACAAACATCTATTTGCATCAAATTGTGCTTGCTTTTGAGTTATATCATGTTTTATCACCCTGAAATTTCCTACAGTTTAAAAAGAAAACATATTATCTTCACAATAGGAGAGCGCTGACGCTGACACGGGACAAGTGTAACCTAGAAACTTTTGAAGGAGAGAAAGGAGTATGACAATCAAGGACGCCATAAACGAGCCCTACAATGGTAGGGACGATTGACGATACGGGCCTAAATAACTTGTATAACCCTAATTTGTCTTAAGAGGTATCTGGTATTTCCCAACAGTCTAAGGCCTAATAATTTTTGGTATTTTGTAGATCCTGTGGGTGCATGACTTGTCTGTTAATTCAAAAGTGATAGGTGCCGCTAAAACTGAAGACAAAAAAGCAAGATCGCTGAAGCCCCATATCTTGCCGGTTTTTCCCCAGAAACGATTATACATATATAGTCCTAAAATGTTGGTCTCTGTATAAAATCACTAGATTGTTCGATAGTCAGGTTGTAAATAATAATTATATCATAAAATATAAGACAACTAAACTGCACAATGCATAATATAAAATGCAAGCAATTTATAAACAAAGCAAATAATCCAAATGCAATATTTTGCGAACGTGCTTATAGAGAAAAATCGTATATCCTTTCGCATTGTAGATATACAGGATTGGACAGTGGGTATATGATACTGCTATCAGATATTGATAATTCCTCAAATACTCGTATATAGAGTTCATGAAACTGAAAACATGAAGCCGCCTTAGTCTTAGTCATCCTCAAAACAGTCATTTTAACATGGAGCAAAATTATTCACCTTTTCCTTTCAAGACCTTACCTTGAAAATATTCCCAAAACTTTTGATTACATCACAACGGTGCCACCTTTTTCATATACGATATAAAAAAACACTGTCATCCGATGTACTCTCGCACGTACGACTGCATTAGATCAACTAGAGGAAACTCTTATCTATTCCTTATCGTTTCACGATTTATTGTATCAGAGCAGCGTATTGTGTGTATGCGTATACATCAGTAAGGTTGACGTTTTTCAGCAATAAACAGGTGAATATTGTGAAAGGTTGGCTCAATAAATTTTACATGTAACCAGCTGAATTTTTTGAAGTTTTTTTGCGACTATCTAGATCGAATCTCAATATATGTTTCTGCGATTTCTTTCTTCTTATGCAAATTATTAAATGATGCAATAAAACGTCAATATGATCGAAACCATGTATTAACTATATTCAGAGCAAAAATTATTATGAAAAATGTTTTCCCACGCACAAGAATTAAATTCTTCTGTGAAATTATTTCAGTTTTTGCGTATATATATTTATTTTCAATAAACTCCCATCTAGCAAAGTAGTGGTATAAGCTTTTGGTAAAAGGACAGTTCAGCCATAAAAGCTCTCTATTGTTGTTGCCTGAACACCAAAATGCTGGCTTAATGTTGTGTGGAATGCAAATTTGCTTTTTGCAACATATTTGCTCTAAAATGAGGTGTTTAAAATATTCTTATAGCATAGTTATACAACATCTTATAGGGCAAATTTTTAACTGTTGCATAAACGTTTATACAACTATTTTATACGGCATATTTGCACGTTAGTCAAAATGGTTGTGTTGTGGCATCCATGGTAACGTTTATAAAACAAACCCGAGCCTTGTTGTTTTGCTGTGCGATTTACTATTTTAGCCAACAAATTGCTCCCAACGGAAGCACTTACGCAACTGTTGTTTAGTAACTGTTAAAGGCTGTACATATGCTAAATATGTCGGTAAACAACTTCCCATAACCTAACTTTCTGCTGTCATATTTTTGTAAAATGCCATAACCAATGTTTTAAGACAAACAACGCATCCATATTGGTTCAAAAGGTTTTATCAACTGTTCAAACAGAAGATATAGATCTGGTACAAATTCTGAGTAAATCATTCGACTCCGTCGGTATTTCATTTCAGACATTTGTCAAATTGTTGTATAACACCTGCAGGCAACACCAAAAGATGCTAATAACCTAAAGACAACATGGACGATGCCATGATTGTACACAACCACCCGCCACATTGGGCAAACATTTATTCCTCTATTTAATATTAAATAATTATGTTTCAGTTCGAAATTACAGATATAAAGAGATAAACATTAGTGTAATTGTGTCTAAATATAGAATTTGTGGAAGATTTAACGCAGATAAGTTCAGTTTTCCATCTTCAAAATCTAGACATACTTTTGATCATTGTCAAAATATGAATCAAATACGAAGCCCGTAGAAATTGGGTAACTAATTTGCACGATGATCACAATAAAATTTGCTGCGCAAGTAATTCAATAGCCCTATATCACAGTGTAGAAGTTTATCATATACCTGTGTATGAAATTCACAATGGCCGATATGTAAGTAAACAAGATGACTGTAATGTGTTAGTTATATATTCTTCACTTCGTCTATACAATACATAAGAAATAGTTTGGTTGCAATAAAGTAGAATCACGTAACAGAATAGTTGTATAGTTGACAAAAACTGAATCTTGCACTGACGCAAATGTCCTATAGCGCTGCAAGAGGCTTACACTTTTGTTGTATAACTGTTACCTGCAGCCCTTATACAACCTCTTAAATGATTGAAGTGTCCTATTAGGTGTGCCCATTCCACTTGTATAGCTGTTCTAAGAGGGTTTTGCCAATGTTCTTACAGTATACAATGATGTTTAAGGAATACTGTATAATCATTCTTGGAACTCTAATAGGAGTGATAATTGTTAGTTGGGCTGTAATGCTTCATACGTGAACAAAGGCTGTATATCTTCAACTTTTGCAATGCTTTATGCCCTACCAATTTTATACGATTCGTTTGGGGATCCATTTGCAGTGGTGGATTCAGGGGAGTGTCCCCCCCAAATTTCAGATTGTTTTGCAATTGGCAAATGTCCCACCCCCCTGAATCGCCGGTACTCCCCTCGCTCTCTTCAATGTTCAATAGCCGATACCCCCGAGACGGACATTTTCTTCTTGATCACGAATCCGGAGCCCCACAGGTCCTTTTTGAGCGGGTAATTTCAAAGTCATCATGTGGACCCCCTCCAAAGATACTTTCTAGATCCGCCTCTATCCCTTGGTACGATGTTCTTGATAAGGATATTGGAAGACGTGAGAATATCACAGCATTCCATGGAGGCATAAAGAAGTATGTAGTTTGTATAGAGGTTTTTGTCCAGCTGTCATACTGGACATGTTAGGAAAATGCAAATTTTTAGTATGTCAAAGACTGGACAGCACACTAACAAAAAACAATCAAACATGTAGCAAACACTGACGTCACTGCGAAGCGCACCAAACTAGCGGCGTTTATATTGACGCCGTCGGTATTGTAGTTTTAAACATTTAAATAAAATGAGTGCAGTCATTGCAATGAATGAAATATGTGTTTACGGTATTCTATTAACGTATTTAATCGGCAGAAGATGCAAAAAAGCATGCGTATTCCCTACTGGCGTGACAAGTAATAAGTTGATTTTAATATTTACCTTTTAAACGCACTTCATAAAGAATAATACCGCATTTGACACTATACGAAATAGCATTTCACATTAAGCTGTGTATTTTTCGCATTAGTCACTTTTGTGCCATAAAGCTCCCGCTGTAGCGCGAATGTCGCTCACTTTAGTTGTAATTGGTTTTAATTTGGAATAGGACAAAATTATGTTTGGTTTTTACATAAGATATTAGGGTCAACCGTGAGTGGGAGAGTTAATTGCATATTATGTTTTAAGTCTGAAATAGCTATTTATGTAACTTGGACAAGTGCTACGCTGCAGCGTCCAGTAGTTTTATACTGTCCTTGCATAAAGAGCTCCGTATAACAGAAGCGCATTTTCCATACGGCTATTATAATATTTTTGTTAAATACGAGATGCGGGATGGATATAAGGCTTGTTGAATGACTGTCAGCGAACAAAAACACCTATATTTAAGGTATTTTTATTTTCATATGTATATGAAAGTGGTATTACGTTTCAGGAAATGGCATCAAGTAGGTTGACTCTTACTTTCCATCACGCAACGCTGTCATTATCGTTAATTCAAAAAGGATTCTTATTGTTGTAAGAATAAAGTTAACTGCGGACATATACAGAGTGACTTCGAAGTTGAGTCATTTATTTTAACAGTGAGTAGATCTGATCAAAAGAAATGTTTTTTCCTTTAACATTTTTCTGGTAAAATTAAAGTAACAAAGTTATAGCCATTTAGAAGTTTGAGTACCGCCCTGTCTCAATAATAATATTATGTGCTCGTGTTTGGCAACAACGGATATAATCCGCCTTATCCGTTCATCGCATCGGAAACAAAAAAGCGAAAGAATTTGAAACGATGTTTTTACCACAATGTACAATTTTATTCAGTTGTATTGAGTCGATGTGTCAGTCGGTAACGCGTGAGTGAATAGTGGTGTTTGTTGCGTGGCTCAAACGAAATAAAAAATGGCACATGTTTACGAAAATGCTGAATGTAGTACAAAGGGCTCGTGAATCAGGTGACTTAAGACCTCACAGGGGAGGGCATGCCGGTGCTCCAAGACCGCACGATCAAATACAGGTCCGCACTGAAATACTTGCCGGGAGGATACTTTATAAAACAAGGTAACATTTTTTTTTATTTTTTATTTTATATTTACACACATATTTTGGTTTACCTTCCTTCTACAATCATTATGTGAAAATTAATGACTCAACTTCAAAGTCCCTGTATAGCACAAAAAAGGAATTAAACCAAACATGCCTATACAATTAGTTCATAGTCCCATCTACTTGATAAAGTTGAGATTTAGAAACGTCGTCCCCGCTCTTACTGAAAGTATCGACCATATGGCAACATCAGCCATGCTACGCTGGTCAGCTCGAGCAGTGTGGCGGCTAGAGACTATAAGCGGCAGCAATGTTGCCGAATTTACCGATTTTTCAGTATTTCTACTGAAATGAGACTATGTAGTTTTACACATATACTTAAAGGATCATTGCAAAAAAGATTGAAGAGCTCAGTGTAAAACTTGTAATAAAGAAGTTGATGTTTGTTTGGGAAAAGATGCCCTCAAAATACCTATGGTTGTGTGTGTGTGTGTACGACATAAACGCGACATGTCCGTTTGACATTTCTCCAAGTTTGCGACGGGGTTGGAAACGTATGAATATACTACATACAAAAAATTGGGATATACTCTCCCCCACCTTCCTACAACCCCAACTCCCAATTTCTAACCCCGACAAAGATTTTTTCCGAAAATGCTGAGGAGCCTCCAAAACGTTAAAAAACGAAGTTTGACAGATTTTTATTTTTATCGTTTTGTGCCCTCAGCTTCGTCGCCACTGAACCGATTTTCAAAAATTACAAAGCTCTTTCGTCCTTGGCATATGTAGTAGCACTGTGTGAAAAATTTATTCAAATCCAAGTAGCACTTTCCGAGTTCTATAGATGGGCCCCGAATTTGTGGACAGGCCGACAGACCGATCGACGGAAACGAGTGGAACGGTTTTTCATAATCATCATCAAAAAACATATTTTTGTGTATAACACACTTCTTCGTCACAGTGCAGTGAAACGGTGAAAACAACAGGTCAATCAAAAATGCAAGGCTAACCATACTTATGACACGCTCTTTGGGTATGTTTTCACGACAATGGCAAGAATCTCAATTACTGTAAAGTCATCATGAGAAAATTAAATTATCTGCTCATCTGTGCATTTCCTTGTGCTTAGAATCCAAACCCGATGTCAATTCAATGCCGTGAGCATTGGCTCTAGGAAGTTAACTTTTTACCCCAAATTTGACCCCACACAATTTAAGAATTTTTGAACTTGCCACAAATTATTTACTTGATTGTTCCAAGAGAATCGTTTGTATCTAGACAACTATAACGAAACTGGGTTTCTAGCGCCTTGAAGTGTACCGTATTTTGCAGTTGAAATATTTAAATTTTTAATAGCACATGTATAAGGGTAATACGTTCAAAATACCATTACTACCACTAAAACCTGTGACTCGAAACAAATCTACACAAATGTTCAATTTATTTGAAAAGGATCCGTGCATTTTGAAAAATCAATTGATCCATTTCACTCACCTGTGTTATTTGAATTTTCCATTTTAAGGTGTCTGTGATGCAGTTTACGACTAACAATTGAAAATCGCGCACCTTTGTAAATTGTTAAGAGCACCGCACTTTAAAACCTGTGTCACAGAATTTTTTAAAAAAAAACTTCACGCCTTTTATCTATCTAGATTAATATTGTCTGTAAGTTTTCGTCTTGTTGTTATGACCCAGCACATCGAACAAAAATTATGTAGTTCTTTACGATTAAAGGTTATACAGCCAATTGTTATTCTACTCACAGCACTCTTAATTATATTTAAACAATGAAAGCATTTTCTGTTATGGAGAGTAAGTTAAAATGTCCATGCAGAAGCAACGTCATCATCCTGTGTCTCCTTATACGATGCTTTGATGTAAGTACAGCACTGTAAGTCATGATATACGAGGACAAGATATTTGGGATATACAGGATGGCACATAATTTCTCGTTAACAGCAGATTCAAATGGTACTAGAAATACCCCATTTCAGTGTTTAAATCATTGCATGGCGCTAGATTCTCAAAATAGTTATCCCTTGAAAAGTGTTTTTGAAATGTCAGTCATGGGCGCTGGCAGAGGGCAGGGGCGGTCGTATCCCTCCATGAGAATCCAGTTGGCCCTAAAAAATTGCATATTTAGCGTGGTGTATAAAACAGGGGACTTTCAGTTAGGGTTTGTCGCCCCCCAATGCTGAAGCGATTTCCTATACCACCCGCTCTTCAAAATGTTTTGGGGGCTGATACACTTTTACCGCTTGTAGATGATGCCCCCCACCCCTCTAGAAAAAATCCCTGCTGGCGCGCATGGTATCAGCTGGATTACCATTTTTTTAATAACCTTAATTTGCTTGTTTAGAAAACGATTTTTATTTCGAAAATAATGGGTCTTGACAAAAAACTCCCAGAGGCAGCTTTTAGGTAGAATCAGTCTGGAATTAAGATACTGATGCAATTTTTTTCACGAAATGGTGTCGCATTTTTTTACGCTGAATAATATTTCGATTTCATGACACGATCGTCAGTATTGCAAGTGCTTTAGAAAAACCTATTGCACATTTTAATGTAACCTTTGAAGACACGTTTCCATGTACCTTCCATTTCAAATTCTCAATCTGATGAGAAACGTAAGGTTTGATCTATCATAGATGAGCATGTTCCGGATTTATGCTTGGATGAAGTTTTCTGAGAAGCGCCGCATTTGTAAGATATATGAAGAGACTTGAAAGAACTGGAGTAAGCTCCGCTTGGCACCTCTTCAACAGTGCCAGTCCGGACCATAAGCTTTGTTGATGTCGAGAGTCAAGAGCACCCGTTTTACGGTCTTATGCCTGAATATTACTATCGCATAGTATAGGGAACCCTTTAAATCGACAGCACATGGTGGAGATGGAGCAAAGATCTTGGTAAGCAAGGAGAAACTTGCAGGTAACTCAATACCTAAGGCCCGTATACAAAAGCAGGACATCTCATTTCACTTCGGTTAAGTTTTAAAGTTTTTGGACGCCGAAATACAGTACAACGTTCCAAGGATGTTATCTCCAGGTAAGTTACGTTCATCAGTGGTAATACCAGAACGTGGAATGTAAGATGTTAAAGCCAGTCGAGAAAGATACAGTATTCTCTCTTCTCAAAAGTGAACACTCGAGAAACACGAACGTGATTGGATTCAAAAATCACGAATAGAATAAAAAACTTTTATTTCACGTACAAAATATATTACTGAGGTTCATAGATATGTCTTTATAAATAAATAGATACATAAGTTAAAACATAATAACTGAATATTGCATATACTGATACTCTTTTGTGTGCATTGTTACAACATTAAAAATATAAAAGTCTCCATTTTTCTCAGCAACAGAGCGCAAGCAAGAAATCATCTGATGTTTATCCATACACTTCACACAAGGCTGAGATCAAAATCTGACAAACTACTACTTTTCTCATGCTTTCCTGCAGGTTGTGCACTTCCTGTATCACTAGGAGTCACGTTAAACGCAACTTTTTTCTTCGCCACAACACCAGCTGTGCTACTTGCTGGTCGAATTGGACCTGGTTTATCATCCAAAGAAGTTATGGATTGCAATTCGGAGTCTGTATTTTGTAACAGCTCCAGGGTTGTTTTTGAAGGAAGCAACTGATTGATTTTTGTGCTTTCGCAGATTTCCGGATGGTCAGATTCGCTGTCGGTTTGGAAGAGTTCTTTGTGTTTTATTGTTTTTATTGGCTTGGGTTCGGGGCTAAAAAACAAATGGAAAGTTATTTCGGCGACAGAAAACAATGTGTGAACATTAACAGTACACTAAGTAAAATTATGGTGTCCGCAAGGAATCGTATTAGTTCAAACTGTCATTTACTTTCGTCCATCGCAAGTGACAGCTTCTCGATTGTAATTACCGGGACGTGTAAGCAACGTAGTTACTTTTTTTTTGTTGATTATAATTTGAAGTCTAGTATTTTCACGTAGTGATAATATGGAGGTGCAAGAATATGGTTACTCTTATTATTTACCTGTTTTGTGTAAAAACATGCGTTTTGGAGTTTTATATAAATTTTTGATTGAAATTTGTTTTTGCTAGATTTTGTTCCTACAAAATTAATTCATTTCGAGTAATAAACTCTCAGCTGAGCCTTGCTGGAACTGAGATAAATGTTATCTTAAAGTAGAGAATGTCTAGATTAGGGGCATATACGTTTCATCTGCATCTTCATATAAGTTCGTAGTACAAAAAAAGAGGTGTTTTCCAAATCGAATTTTGTTGTTGTTTTGGTAAATTTTTTAAGTATTCTGTTTCGAAGAGGATTATTTCTGATATTTGGCACTCTAAGAAGGGCAGTGGTTTACGAGTTTACCTGTTAAAAAAAGGCATATTGTCAAAATTTATGTTGGATTTGTTAAGCTAATTGCTTCGATTATAATGTATTATGAGTATTAGAATTTATAATTTTTTGCCATATATCTTGTTTGCCCTTATTATGGATTGTTTTATTTTATTTCTTTAATATAAGGTTGATATAAAACAATATCTAAAACAAAAATACTGAGAAACATTTTTAGTACCTACTTAGTATTTTTTTCCTAAAAAAGAATTTTATAAATTGTATTTACATGTTTACTGTATTTTGAGGTTTTGAAATACAAAGGTTAAATCTAAGTTGTGTATTTATGGCCGCCCTAGTATGGAAGGGGAATCAGTGTGCAATCCTGTTTAATTTGTATATTAATGACCTTTTTCAAGTTCAACAAAAACTTACAATCAGTTAATAATTTCAAATATTTAGGGGTATTCAAAGATAATCATATAAGATGGAATATACACGTCGAACATTTAATAAAAAACTTAAGATACCTCATTCCAAAAAACAAATATTTCAGCAGCTTTTTGAGCGAAAAATGTCGACACATGACCTTGTGCAATCAATGCTACTTATGGAATCTTAGCATGGGGTAGAGCCAAGAATGATTATTATAAAAAATAAGCAGTGGATTTTGAAGGCTATGTTAAACAAAAAGAAATGTGATCACACAGAATTTTTTTACACAATGATATATGTAATATAAAAAAACCATTGTTACATTCTAGTAGCCACAATAATCAAACGCGGTTCAAAAAAGCACTTATTCCCAGACTAAATAAAACTGTCAGCCAAAGATCATTCGACTTTCTAGGCTCAAAATTTTATAATGTATCATACACTTTTTTCGTTTTATTTTAGGCATTCTGAATTATTAGGTACTGAGCTGGCATCTTTTCTGGGACTAGTTTTGACCCAAAAGAGCTATCAAAAGGTTTTATGAACAAAAGCGTAAAACTTACGGTTGTTCTCTTGGCTTTTTCCTACTACGAATTCTCATGAGAGTTGATAACTTTTTCTGAGTATCTGTAAGTGGTGTTCTTATTTTCTTCTTCTTTTTTAATTTTTCTTTGCACCCTCCGACATTTAGTGTTTTTTCAATAGATTTTCTGACTGATGAGTAGTTGTCATATCTCTGTAAAACCAATTTAACAAGAAATATAAAGTGACATTCTTCAAAGTATTCGTTGAAAGTTAACCTTTTTATCCATATTTGCTTGGTGTTTGATTATTTCCAATCCCCTCTCAAAGGACTTGTTTGGAATGCCTTGCCAATCAAGTGAAATTCCAATATCTTCAAACTTCATCCGAACCAAATCTTTCAACTTTTCATGAACTTTGCCCTTCTTATCCTCTAGGGGAAGTCGTCGATCTATGCTAAAAATAATATTTTTCTAATCAGCATATTGCGGCTGCTATGAGGATCCCAAAGAAACTCTGTTCATCCGATTTTTGAACTGTCTAAGACTAGTAGAACTGGAAACCGTCCCTCTTGGAGATTGTTCCACAATTTTGATACCCTAGCGACAAAGGAGCGGTCTTATCGGCCAGTTCTGGATATACAAAGTTCGACACGGTCAGGATCGAAGGCCGAAGTCAGGCAGGCGGCAGATCGCGCGGCGGCATCATGGAGAAGAGGTCTGAGGAGCAAAGACCAGTGCGAAAGGGTGCCGAGACTGTCTGTTAGAGAAGAGTCATCGATCAGTCAGACAGGTCACGTGGAGAAAAGTGCTTCGTAACCCTAAACAAACAGTCTACCTTTCTTCCAGCTCCTAGCTGTCGCTATTGACGAGATGTGTTCGTGCAAGATCACGTCCGCCATTATCAATCTCAAGTTTTTGGCAAAAGGGTCAAAATAGATAAATGGATACAAAACTAAACAAGAAATGTACTATAAAACGCACGAGCTATCAAATACTGGTTAAAAACATTTCAAACGTAGTTTAGGCAGATAATGGTGTAAAAATAATAAGTCTTTTGCTCTGTTAACCTGGTCCCTTTGACGCCAAAAAAAAAAAAAAACTAAAACTGGTTCGCTGGGTATGCTTGGCAGCCCCATATTATCTGATGTTAGTGACATTTTTCCGTTCATTTGATCTATTTTTTCTAGCACCCATGCATCCCATCTTTGAAACATATATCAGGGATGACAGTTTCAGGGAAATACTTTTCTGATGGTAAGCCATAAGCAGGAAATGGAGTGTGTTTTTTCAATAAACGAATCAATATCAGTAGAGAGAAAATTATTGGTCGTCCACTACTATTTTTTCGCCGATAAGGCAATAATTCCCCATTCACTTTGCTGCTGAAAAAAATATATGACTAGGCCACACTATCAAGTTCGTCTTTTGATCGGAAATTCTGTCGAAATATATCCGGGTAGCACTACTTTTCCTGATACAACCAAAGCAGTTCGAGTAAATTTGCCCAAGGTTACCGAACCGAAATACACCCGTTTAATTGCTGATATATCGACATCTGACATCGATATCGGCCATATATCGGTCGATCTTTAATGCTAATTGATATTTGATACCTTTTCTTGCTGCTCTTTTTGCTCAGGACCTTTTCTGGAACACCTTCTTCTTCGGACTCTTCCGAATCATTTGAAAGTTCCTGCACTTTCAATTGCATATGCGTTGCAACTGCTGCAGACTGTTTCAAAACCTTTTGAGTCTTTGATTTTGTTTCAATGTCCTGTCGGTTCAGATAAACATTCTTCTTTTCTGGAACAGCCATCAAGATCTCATCATCTTCTTCATGAAATTCATTCTCATCTGCAGAAATTTTACTGCCAGGAGAAGTATCTTCTTGGTGGGAAATGTACTGATCCAACTGAGTTTTCAGCTTTTCAGCAGCACTTGGAACTTCAATATTATCTTGGACCCTCGTGGGGTTGCTTAGTTTAGTTCTTGGTTTGATTTTTGGTTTAACCATCGAGTTTTCCTGTTTTTGAATGGATTGTATCTCATGTTTGTTCTCGAATTCTTGTCTGTCTGTCATGGAAGAGATTGGTTTTGACTTAGCAGTTCCTTGGCTGCTGATCTGTATTTCACTTAGTCTTGTCCAGAAGGATTCCATTTGATTTTGTATGGTGACAAGACTCGTAGATATCTGAAATTTAAGATATTCCTAGTAATTACTGGACAGTTTACAGCTCAGAAAGTACCACCAAGTAAATTTTTATGAAATTCTGATACACGAGATTTTTGCTAGTCATAGATGTGCCAAGGAATAGCAGATACATACTCATCAAATGGATAAAAACAGTAGTTTATTACAGTATTCTTAACAAAGCTGGAAAAGCAGCTTCAAAATAATTTTCTCTTCTGGCGTTGATGGATAAGTTATACAAGTCAATGTCAGCTCTTTTGTTCTTAGTCACAGCCAGACATGAGTAGATTAACTTTTACAATTTTCTGCTTAACTTGGAGAAATAATCAAAAGAAACTTGTTTTGTATCAAAACTTTACCTTGTTTTCCAAATTAGAGCTTATCTCACTAATCTTCCTTTCAATTTTGTCATCTACTTCTTCCACAACACTTTCATTGTCTATCTCAACATCTTTCTTCTCAAATTTACTGTCTTCTTTTCTACCACAATAACTCTCTTGAACTGTCACTACATCCAATTTTTTTGGCTTTGGAACATCAGCTTTAGATTTGTCACTATCTAAAGCATTGTCTTTGAATGTCACAATCTGTAAGTTCTTCCTCTTCACATCACTCTCACTAGATGCATGACTTACATCAGGTTTTTTCTGTGATAGAGACATTTGTGATTCAGAATTTTTTGTCTGCATAACTAAGTCAAAAAGCCTGTTGTATTTGTCTTCATAAAACTTTTTCTCTGTTTGCAAAGTTGATATCTCATTTTCTACTTGTTCCTTAAACTTCTCAAACTTGGCATAAATCTCTCGCACTTCATCATTTTTCTGTTGATTTTCTTTCATTTCTACCTGCGCAGACTTGTCTTTCAGGATTTTTTCAGTAGCATTAAGTCGTTCCTTTAATTCCTTAATTTCTGATTGCAACTGATCAGTTTCACATGGTTTATCAGCATTAACTGACATTTTACTATCATCACTATGCCGTCTTTTAATGTGAGAGTTTAAATAGTTCTCAGATAGAAAAACCTTTAAGCATTTATCACATTTGAAAGTTGCAGTGACGGCATGCTTTTGAATTTGCATTAGGTGGGCTTCTAGCTCTTGGATATATGATTTCATCTCTCTAAGTTCCTAAAAAAGGCATACATTGGAGACATAGAGAATTTAAGCCTTTACAGAAAGACACCTTGGTTTGGCAGCTGTATAGTCCAAGACCGTGATATTATAACCAGACTATATATTCTCATTTACAAAAATACCCTCTGCTTTTAAAGCAGTAAGCATGTAAAGAAAAAGACACATGTTGACAAATTAACACTGTATTAATAAAATTATACATACAAGAATCTCTCACCTCTTTAGCTTTTACCACATCTTTCTTTAACAAAACCACTGTGTTATCTAAATATCTCTTGCAGAATAGTAAGTACTCTACTGCCAGTTGACTCATGCGAAATACTTTTACAAAGTTAGTGTCTAATATTTCAGCTTGTTCGTTATCCAATACATATCCTATCACGATGGATAAAAACTGTTCAACAGTAGCTACATCTCTTTCTTTAACAACTCTGTCTATGTCTATGAGACCTGCAAGTAATAAATTGTATTGAATAATGAATAATTTTAAACCTCAAAGATTGCCTACATATCTTATTCTTATCAGGATTTGGTTGTTTCTGTTTATCAAATGAGAATCCTGAATCCCAAGCTAAACGAACGTAATCATAATGCCAGCGACAATCCTCCACCCACATTGTTGATTTTTTGGTCTTTTATGAATTCTAGTAAATCATTATGAAACTACTTCATTTTATTTCTTAAATATTTCTTTACATTATTTTGTTTTGATCCAATAACAACAAAACCTTTTTAAATTCAAATCAGTCAATGTGGCACTTTCGTGACAGACTTAGCTGTCAAAAAATATAGAATTCTTCATACAGAGATAAGTGTCGTGTGTTCTGACCTGCCATCTTTGCTCGCAAAAGTATGCTACAGGTATGACTGCATAGTCATCAAAACCGTTTTTGTATACATTTAAATTTACTTCGCATGTGTTTTGTTGATTATTAATTAGAAATAAAGAGTTTCAGAGCCTAAACCAAGCCATGTAATCGCTACACATGAGATCAGAGATCTATATTTTTTGACAGACCTATTCTAGGGACTTTCAGTTTAGAACTAGATAATTGACAGATTGAAAAATTGAACACGTTTCCGCTGCTCCCTGCTCCTTTTTCCTTTTCCTTTCTGTGTCAAGGAAGCAACATGGTAGGTAATTTCTTCTATGTTTCAATATTTTCCTTATATTTATAGCTAATAGTGAGTTATTTTTTTGTAAAACACTATATAATTGTGGATTGGATTATGTATTTCATGAGTATTGTTATATATGAATGAGAAAATTTCTAAATAGACGTGTTTTCAATGATGCATAACATAACCTGCAAGACCACCCCGTGGTTGCAACAAAATACTGATTTAATGAGTCTGAGAAAGCACATACGTAGTAAAAACGCTCTAAACATTAATTTTTACGCATTCTATATCAAATATCTTTGTTTTTTAGCCTCCCAAAAAGGACGCTAAGTCGTCTGCCAAGCAGCCCCAAAAGACTCAAAAGAAAAAGGAGGGGTCAGGTGGTGGCAAAGCCAAAAAGAAGAAGTGGTCCAAAGGAAAAGTTAGGGACAAGTTGAACAACCAGGTGTTGTTTGACAAGGCCACCTATGATAAGCTATACAAAGAAGTCCCCTCATACAAACTAATCACCCCCTCAGTCGTGTCTGAAAGGCTTAAGGTCAGGGGGTCACTTGCTAGGAGGGCGTTGATTGAACTGCAACAGAAAGGTGAGAAAAATTCAAATAAGAGATCACATTTTTATTTTCGAAGTCGGTGGCCATTATTGTACCCTGTGTTGCATGATAGCTATGTGTTTGTTATATCTTCTTAGTTGGCTATGGATCTTTAGAATGTTTACTTTTTGAAAAATTGAAAATTATTTGGATTTTGTTTTATAGCATGAGTGGACAGATTTTTTTTTCATTTGTTGTTTTTGTTTGAATATATTGGTGTAATTATTGTTTTCTTTTGTTTCAGGACTCATTAAGCAAGTTGTGCAACATAGAGCACAGGTTATTTACACTAGGACCACCAAGGGTGATGATCCAGTTGCGTAAAATAAGTGATACTGGTACTTTTATGTATAGGAAGTAATAAAAAGTTGAAAAAACATGGATCGAGTTTTATTGATTTGTACCTTTGTAAAGATCCAATAAAATTATTTATCCAGACTAACTTCTAGCGAGTCCACATATATAAAAAAATCTTAGTACCCTGACTGCGTGGTACAGGGTTTTTAGTTTTTCAAAATGCAGAAAACTTGACTATTACCTTGTCTGAAAGCAAGTCTGCCCCATTTACGTAGATTTGTGATCTTATAACGGGAGAAAAACTAGAGCTTCAGAAACCTAACAAATGCTAATCGGATTACAAATTGAAAGCTGAGGAGATGGCAGTAACTTTACCAATTTGTCTGTGTTAGTAAATTCAGAACAGCGTTGTGTACGCATTTGGTTACTCTTGTTTATTAAAAGGTACGTTCTCATTTTCTAAAGCTACTAATTTTTCTTAAAAATTTATGAATGTTCGTTTATTACGTATATAGCACCAGTAATACAAATGGGCGCGTCACGGGTTGCCTGAACGTTAGATCTAAAACTGAAGATTGTAGCAATGTCTGGTAGTTAATTCATTTTTATTATATGACATACTGGTTAGTAGTTATAGATAAAAAGCGTACTTATTTGCTTTTGTAGTTAGTGTTGAATATATCTTTTATATTTATTGAATTATTATATATATTTTTAGTAGGCACATCAGTACTATTCAGAAAGACGTTGCCACAGGTTTCCGTGGTGTAGTGGTTATCACATCCGCCTAACACGCGGAAGGTCCCCGGTTCGATCCCGGGCGGAAACAATTTTTTTTTCAATCATTGCAAACTTTTACAAATCATATTGCACTGTTACAAGAAGAATCTGCAAATTAAAGGAAATTATAACTAAAAATCTTTTATTTCCAATTTCAAACGCCAGTACATGCAGTGTTAATATTTTGACCACGGCAATTTTATTTTATTTCTTGGATTTGAATTAATTTTTATAATTATATTTTTTGTTCGTATTTTAATAAATTTTCTGTTCATGCAAACCAGCATTGATTTTTTGTTATTTTCCCAGAAGCCATATTAGCACTGATATATTCCGAGCTTAATCATAGCTGCACAAAAAGGGCAAGTATACAGAGGACCAGATGACTAGTAGTTGACGTTCTAGAAAATAACGTAATTAACGAGTTATCCCGTAGTTGGCAGCTAAACTAACAAAAATAATTTTGAAAAAAAGTAAAAAGTTAGCAGGTCCCACCGAGATTTGAACTCGGATCGCTGGATTCAGAGTCCAGAGTGCTAACCATTACACCATGGAACCTTCTTACTTTTGGTTTACAGATAGCAGAATATACGTTAGCTCAAAGTTTTTATCATTCCAATGAATTTTAATATTTTTTAGCGCTGAAATATGGTAGAAATTGAAAATCTTAACTCGGCTATATTACGGCTTTTCTTCAGAAATATTGACAAAGATTATCAGAACTGGGGAATTAGTATAGTCCAGGCCATGTGTATCCACAATAACAGATAATTTATTATTTGTAAAATCAAATATCGAACTTTCCGCACACGGGTGAGAGGGTCTAAAGAAGATGAACATCTTTCAACTTATCAAAGGAATAGTTCCTTAATGTCATCTACTTGTAGGTGGAGTTGCATAAATGGCATTTGAGTCCAGAACCAGCTCCTCTTAATTTCATTCAGCAGAATGAAGGACAAAAGATCTTCGAAAGCAGCTCTGAATCAGCATCAATTTCAACATCATCGGTCTCAAAAGTTAGCAAGCCTTCGTGAAGATAAAAGAGAATCAGCACCAGATTTGGACGAAGATAATCGAGGATTTGGAGGTTGGCTACGTTCAGAGGAAGGTTTGTAGAGCAAGCTTGATGGAATCTACTTTGATTTCACTGGTCATCGTTGATAAAATAACCAAGATATTGTCCTCCTATTCTTATATTCTAAAGTGTGATAGCGTCTTTCGTTTCCATTTTCAGGAATAGAAAACTTGAAATTATTCGTCCTAGGCAACACAATTTTTGCTTTCTTTGCCATATCCTGGCCTCAAATTAAAGAAGCCTTAGACGCAGCCTACTATCTGTATATAGAATATACTGAACGTAAAGAGTAAGATTTGAATATGTTCCCTGTCGTCTTCAAAGGGTTCATTTTCGTCATATTTATGGTCTGGTATGTAGATTATGTAAATATTTGTTACAATTCAGATACATCAAAGGAAATGCTAGTTCTAAAGCGATGGTGCATTGAATACCTACTTAATTTCTCACTTCTATAGCTTGAGAATAATTGACTCCATTTTATATTTATTTATGCAGAAAGTCACAAAGTTTTGTGTTTTTTTTAGGTACAGCTTTAGTATCGTTGTTTTGGTGAACGACTACTTCAAAGATAATTTCCGGAAATATCTTCATGATGAGTTTAAATCCAACAAATTTAAACAACCTTCCTTAATGGACCTGGTTCAGGACATTGAGCAATGTTCGGCTTTAGGTGACATATCATGTACACAATCACACAATAAGATTTATACGTGTACACTTCGAGAAAGAATTGAAGAAACGTTTTTTATCGGAGTGACAAATGGGAATATGTGTTATAAGTTGTAATAATTTAAGCAAGTAATGAAATAAACAGATAGTGTCACTAACAAATTCATATACGTTATAGAAACCCTATAGTAGTACAAATCTAGGGTGAGAACTTGCAATCAAGGTACTACAGGGTGATTCTATGCCTAAAAGAGCCGAATTATTTATCAGGACTAACGATTGACCTTGCATTAAGCAAAAAGGGTTAATTTTATGGTAAAATGTGTGAAATAAAAATTGTAGAGAATTTTTTGATCTACAATATTCATGATAATTTGCAAATATCCTGAAGCTCATGAGAAGCGATATCTTTGCAAAAAAAAAACAATTTTTGTGACCTTTGACATCTTAAGACGACGCGGCTACAATATTTTATGAGAGTTTTGAGGCTACTTTCAGAATTGCAAAGTAAAGGTTTCTACAAGCTTACAGCTTATTATCTCTCATTTCGAGGTTATTATATATCTATATAACCTACGTTGAATATCTAACGGGAAAATTTATAAAAACTAAGTATGGTATAACTAAAGTTCTTTATTGACTCTCAACAACAATTATAATAACAAATCAATACACTCTGGAAATATCTGCAATATAAACTGATAAAGCGAAGCTATCCTAGTAATCTAATATGATGCCCTACTGTGTGTACTATTCCATACTTGCTTGTGCGTTGTTAGAACGGGTATTCAGGATGATTCTTGATACTGAAAAGGAATATATTAATTTTTGAAAATCTGGATGTTTCCTTAGACTGAAATTAAGAAAGCTAAGCGGACTTTCACGTGTAATGAAAGTTGAATTCGGTCTTCGAAAATTAAAGTTTGATAACCAGGGGTAATCCAGACGTTGGTTACTCTGGGGATTGACCAGTTATTCTTGAGATCACTTGGGTTTCTAGCACTATGAGCTCTTCTAAATAAGACAGCACAAATTGTCATCTATTACTAGAATCGATAAAAGTGAAAATAGCAAACTATCTGTTGGAACTGTATCCCACTTCACATTTGACAGCCGCGTCATCACAGTGGCCGCTAGATGCCGCTGATTCTGGTGGTATGGTATACGGTCTACTCGCCACTGAACAAACTAGTAATAAAAGTTTCGCTCATCTGACTACACACGGCGATCCACGGGATACAGTTCTAACAGACAGCTCGCTTTTTCACTTTCGTAGTTATCGTTTTTGGTAATAGATGGTACTTTCTGCTGTCTTATTTCGATATACCTCATATCCTGGTAGGAAAATAGTTGCTTAGCTTTCATTCGTTGTCCTACTTGATACCAAGTCTAGACCACACTGATGAGTTGCCATAACACAAAACAGCTATCCCTGCTCGGCTGACTGTTGTAGGATGAACGAAAGCTATACTACTAATGAACTCTTCTAATAAAAAATTGGTGAAAGTAGATCTTTCTGTTCTTACCCTTTGAATACAGATTCGAAATCGTATATTCTAAAGCCGCAATCCAGACCACTTAAAGAGTCCATATCTTCATCGTCCAACTCAAAATCGAATATCTCGAAATTTTGTCTGACTCTTGCAGGATTTGTGCTCTTAGGAATAACCACCAGACCTTTCTGCAGACTGTGCCTCAGCAAAACTTGAGCTGGTGTTTTTTTGTGCTTTTCTCCAATTTCGATGACATTTGAATTTGTGAGAAGTTCTGGAACACTGAAAAGCAGAAACTTTACAAGAATTTATGCGTTATATTTAATACTGGACATATCCTTATTATTACTGTAGAGCACATATCATATACAGGGTGACTTCGAAGTTGAGTCATTTATTTTAACAGTGAGTAGATCTGATCAAAAGAAATGTTTTTTCCTTTACCATTTTTCTGGTAAAATTAAAGTAACAAAGTTATAGCCCTTTGGAAGTTTGAGTACCGCCCTGTCTCAATAATAATATTATGAGGTCGTGTTTGGCAACAACGGATATGATCCGCCTTATCGGTTCATCGCATCGGAAACAAAAAAGCGAAAGAATTTGGAACGATGTTTTTACAATTATTTTATTCAGTTGTATACACTATACAGTCAGTGTCAGTCGGTAACGCGTGAGTGAATAGTGGTGCCTGTTGCGTGGCTCAAACGAAATAAAAAATGGCACATGTTTATGCGGATCAGTTTCCCAATCGAGTGCAACCAACCCCTCGTGCCTTTGTTAATGTAGTACAACGGGCTCGTGAATCAGGTGACTTAAGACCTCACTGGGGACGGCATGCCGGTGCTCCAAGACCTCACGATCAAATACAGGTCCGCACTGAAATACTTGTCGGGAGGATACTTTATAAAACAAGGTAAACTTTTTTTTTATTTTTATTTTATTTTTACACACATATTTTGGTTTATCTTCCTTCCACAATCATTATCTGAAAATTAATGACTCAACTTCAAAGTCATCCGCGCCTCATTTGCCTGATGTTACGAATGTCATACGTCAAACAACTGAATCAATAAATTTATCATTCGCCCGTATGCAAGGCAAGATCATTTTTGTAAATACAATATCCCTAAATGTCACAGTAACAGTTGACAGCAACGGAAATCCTATCAAAAGCACATGCATCAAGCTGGCGTTGATAGAACCTGCTTTTTGACAGACTGTCGACTTTGGTGGTACCCCGTGATTTAGGGCCATTGCAGCTGTCAGATTGCAGTTTGTCAAAATTTCTCATTATACAGCGTGCTAGCTATAGGCGTTGCCTACTTCGAGCTGGCGACATTGCTCCAAGTAGTACCCGCCTTGTTCCAAAAATATACTCTACATAGTATCGGAAGCGTTTGCAACTTACAAACCATGCTAGCGAAATGCGGGTTGCAGTAGTTTAGGCAAATATCAGCAAACCCTGCTGTTGCATCGTTTCTTCATAGGTAGGGCTTACGTAGTTTGGGCCTTCTGAACAGCTCAGTACCTAGTGCGAATTTTGTGCTCGCAAATGTTAGCCATACAGTTAATAGCGTTAAATTTGAATGATGGGTTTTTATTATAAATTGCATGTTATTCTATTTCATACTGTAACGAACAAGAGGCCAATGACAGCAGAAAGCAAATGTGGCGCTTGTATTGTATCGTTCGGAAATTCCGAAATTCGGATACATGAGAGTCGTCATTGTGAAAAACAGGTTTATGATTTTCTCCGATTATCGATGTTTATTTTTTCGATATGTATTATTTTTCAAATTGAATCGATAATCGATAAATAACCGATTGTATGTTATCGACTTGCACGCCCTAGTGGAGACCGGCAGGTTACTCACCTACTTGGGCACAAGTGTGTACTTACTCTCTGTAAGACGACGCTCCTGAAGATCCCAACGTAGCGTATCCAGTACAAACCATATTGTTATCTTTGCAGAACTTCACCATGTCGTCTTGCTGCAGGGCAGCGTTGTATTCAAATTGGTGGTTACTTGGAGGTATCTCGCAGTTCTTTAAAATTCTTTCGATCTGTCCTTGGTTGAAGTCAGACAGACCGATGGATCTTATAAGTCCTTCCTGTTGGTGCTTTTCAAATTCCTAAAATCACATTCACGGAGCTTACTGGTAGCCCTGTTTCGTTGCATCCGCTGGTAAAATTATTCCAATTCAGCTCTTTTGCATAATCTTATTCAAAAAGCATGTCGTCACGCCCAATATTGCGTGAGAAATACTTAAACATATTTTTCAATTGAGAAAGAAAAATGGGTCTTTGCGTATCAAAGCTGAAACCGAACCCTTCTCGAAGAGGAGAAACAGTTAAATGAACATTACCCTCCAAACGCCAATAAGATCCGTACTTTCGTCCATATCAACATTACCATCATCTTTGAAACCTGCCCATGGTTGTCCGTTTTCTCCGATGTATTCGTTGAGCGTGAATGGTACGTGTATCAAGTACATGTCAACGTAATCCAACTGCAGCAGATCGAGGGACCTTTTCAGGAACCTTTCTACTTTTTCAGGTTTCGAGCCCCACGGAGGCAGTTTTGTCGTTACGAAAATTTCATCACCTGTTAGAAGTTTTCAAATAATGTAAGATTTATATGCATAACAACTTTCAGCGCCTACGTATTTTTTTAATAAAGGCAATGGACGTTGTTCTAGATTTCTGACGCTTTATTTACTTTTAACAACGTATTATACCTTAAGGTTTCTAACCTAAAACTATATTGCCGCGTCCAAAAATTATCGAGGTGAAATGAGATACTGTAGCGTCACTAATTAGAAATCGATTTCGAGAAGGTTATTGTCTCATCTCGGATATTTTTTTGGTCGCGGGAATATAGTATTAGGTTGAATTTCAAAGTATTTTACTTTGTTTGTCTTTTTGTATGCGAGCTTACGTGTAATTTTCTCTTCATCAAACCATTCCTTTAGCACCTTTCCGATTACGTGTTCATTACAATAAGCGCTTGCCGTGTCAATGTGTCTATAGCCTACTTTTAGAGCCTCGTGAATACTTGCTGTTAGAGCGTCTTCGTCTGTAGCCTGAAATTAAAACAATAAATCAAGCTTCACCGTTTAGGGGTTCCAATTTAGGGATGCGTACAGCTAGCAACCCGGGCCTCGCGGGTTCGAATCTCCGCTTGGGAAGCTAATTCCTTGCCACTGATGTTGTGTTAAAGGTTAAAGACTGTTTACTTGCAACGCCTCGCCTCCCCAACACCACTACTACTACTGTGACTTGTTATCGTTCCAGGATTCTTAAATTGGACATTAATTTTCTTGTTCTATTGGTATCAATCGGAATATATTCCTTGATCAATCAGAACAATCCGAGATTTACAGAGATAAATATTTGAAGCCTCTATTTTTTCTGTACATTGAGAAAAAAGTTAATTAAACCAATTGAACTTTTAATTGAGCCTATTAAAAACATCAACTATGTGGCAGCTAACAAGTTTGATTAAATTCCGGTTTCTGAGACGTTTTCTTTAATTTATTAAGCCTTTTACTTAGAATAAGTACACCAATCTATTTAAAATGAACGAACTATTAAAATGAGTTTATCTGCTCCAAGTAAAGCAATTTAATAGTATCTATTTGTTAGATTCGTTTAACTAGTGTAGGTAATAGTATTTGTCTATTCTTAATGACATATTTTATTTAGATTTATAATTTAATTATTTGGATAATGTTTGGAATTCAAATTGCATTTCACTGAATGATGTATATTATAACAGTGCACTGACAAATCTAGGATATCAAAAATTTTAATAACTCGATTTTGATAATTGGTATTTTCGAATCAAAATAAGAACTTTCGAATTTGTAACCCTAACAAAACTCGACATTTTTCATTTTCACTGACTGTGAACTTATTATACAGGGTGACTTCGAAGTTGAGTCATTTATTTTAACAGTGAGTAGATCTGATCAAAAGAAATGTTTTTTTCCTTTACCATTTTTCTGGTAAAATTAAAGTAACAAAGTTATAGCCCTTTGGAAGTTTGAGTACCGCCCTGTCTCAATAATAATATCATGTGCTCGTGTTTGGCAACAACGGATATAACCCGCCTTATCGGTTCATCGCATCGGAAACAAAAAAGCGAAAAAATTTGGAACGATGTTTTTACAATTATTTTATTCAGTTGTATACATACAGTCAGTGTCAGTTGGGGTTTTCCTTTACACGACGTGTAGATCTTGAAAACATAAGCAATTTTTCTTAGTACCATACACACCAATGTCTTAAGGGAAGCGAGATAAAGGGCTCTGCAACATCAAAAATATCTGAATACCGTCCTGTAGCCGCGACCTGGGACATCACCGATTGGTACAAGGTCTCAACCCGACGGCAGAACTGGATCGGGGTCAGTGTGTCGGGTCAGTATGCAACCTTCAACCGTTGCGACGGTTACGGTCACGCGTGTAGAGGTAAACGAACCCATATAATCGATTGCGTTTCAAAAAACAACAAGCACTAGAGACGTGGCTAGAGAAGTGCAAGTATCAAAAACTGAAGTGTGGCAAACGCTGCGTGAAGAGGGGCTGTATCCGTTTCACGTCCAACGTGTACAAGCCCTTCAACCTGACGATTTTCCAGCAAGAGTGCGGTTTTGTGAGTGGTTGTTGCATCAACATGACAATAATCCGGACTTTTTGAAGTGCATATTGGTGACAAACGAATATACGTTCACGCGTAATGGGGTGAATAACTTTCGCAACACTCATGTTTGGTCATGCAACATTTTGCCTTCCTTGTTTGCCTGCGTCTGCTCGGTAGCGCATCAGCTGATTTCATTTTCTGTTGGAGCGGTATGATTTCGGGCAGAGACGTACTTAGCCCTTCTCGTCAACTGGAGAGTGAGTACTTTTTCCTTTATTTTTTTTTACTTGGTCGCCCTCGTTTTACTACACATTACCTTTGTTATTTCAAGGGTAGTTGTTTCTGAAAAGGAAAACTCCAACTTTTCGGACACCCTGTATGTGGTTTTTCCTGCAACTTTATTAGAACCTCCAACTGATTCGCCTCATTGGTGACATTTGGATTATTTATACATTTTTTACTGTATTCCACTGCTCCACTTGATTGAAAACGTTCTCGTAGTGTGGAAAATATTTCCGGCCTTGGATGTCGCATGTTCATATTCACCATTTCTTCTTTAGAAAAATTCATTTTCAAACACGTTTTTATTATAATGCTCACAAAGCTAATTTTGACAGTTTGTAACTAATCAACAATTTATTTGTTTCCAAGGATGATGCGATATTTTAGAGAATCAAACCGTTCCATAAAAGACGTGGTAATAACCGAAAAAATAGCCGTAAAAACCCGTATGTGTCTAATATCAAAAAAAGCTTATAAGAAATTGAATCCAAACTATACAGTGCGATGCATTTGGAATTTTTTAGAAAAACTTCAATTTGCGTTTTTCTTCTTTTGTATTGGTCTGTCCAAATATGCAATAAAATTTGAGGCATTCCATTTGAAAAATCACAACTTCTATATGTAGGTCGAAATTGGGACAACCAATATTTTATATTATCTAATATCTATTATACTAAGTGACATATAAATCCGAACAACAAGTTTAAATGGTTTTATTTTAATAAAAGTTGGTGAATGTATTTATCTTACTGTAAATAACAAGTGAAAAAATTTTCCGCCTTATCAGTTGGATTTTGGTTCTTGACATCCTTTACGATCGGTTACGATGCCTAGAGTACGGAGACCTGTACGATTTCGTCAACTTTGTGAGTTTGATAGGGGCCGTATAGTCGGACTTCGGGAAGCTGGACTTTCTTTTCGGGCAGTTGCAGTTAGAGTGCAAAGAAGTGTAGACACTGTGGTTAGGTTTTGTCAGGCATGGCTTCGAGAAGGCCGTACGCAAAGAGCAAGGGGCACTGGACGCCGCCGTAGAACAACAGACCGTGAAGATCGCCGCCTAAGATTATTGGCCTTAAGTGACCGTTTCTCCACTACCAGGTTCATTGCAAATGAATGGTTTGCAGAACACGGAAGACCTATTGGCATGCGAAGTGTTTACCGACGAATGAGAAGTTTTGGCTTGTTTTCATACCGGCCACACTGGGTCCTGCCTTTAACTCGAGAATACCGACGTTATCGCCTTGAGTGGTGCAGACAACGGTCACTCTGGGATCAGGAATGGAACAGTATTGTCTTTAGTGACGAGTCTCGATTTTGTTTAGACATGCACGATGGTCATGCCAGGGTTAGAAGGCGACGTGGTGAAAGGAGGAATCCACAGTTTTTTGTTGAAAGACATGTTCATCACACTGTTGGAGTTATGGTTTGGAGTGCTATAGCTTATGGTTCCAGGTCACCTTTAATCTTCATCAGAGGTAACATGAACGCGCAGCGTTATATCCACGAAGTTCTAGAAGCCCATCTTTTACCCTATCGTGACACCCTGGCAGATCCAACTTTCCAACAAGATAATGCCCGACCACGTGTTGCAAGAGTCACAATAGACTTCTTTCAACATAATGATGTCACATTGTTACCATGGCCACCAAGATCTCCCGACTTATCCCCAATTGAGCACGTGTGGGATATGATGGGTAGGAGATTGCTCAATTTGCAACGTCCTCCTCAGACTGTAGAAGCACTTCGAGAGGAGTTGGTGGTTGCCTGGAATGAGATACCACAGGAGGACATTGACCACCTGATCAGAAGCATGTCTAGGCGCGTTGGAGAATGCGTAGCACATCAGGGCGCATCCACACATTATTAAAGGTCAAAGGGCTTTAAAGCAGTGCAATCATTTTGAAATTTTTTATCATTTACTTATTATGCTTCATTAAGTACTTATACAAAATTTTATTAAAATAAAACCATTTAAACTGGGTGTTCGGATTTATATGTCAATTAGTATACACGATATTATGTGTAACAGGGCCACCAAATTACCTCAATAAGTCCTTTCTTAGTCCGTACATAACACCGCGTCGTTTGGCAGGACGAAACAGTAGAAAAAACTCGCGCAAAATTCGATTTGTAGAGGTTTGCGCGCTTCGAAATTGACGTTTCATTTTTTAATATTTTCGAATGGAAATTTTACAGTGTGCTGAAAACAAAACCTTTCAGGATGCTGTCTAGCCACTTTTTATTTTTCCACTAGGCTCCTTTACAAAAAATCGCGAAGTTCAACAAAAAAGTAAGCAATTCAACTCACCATAAATCTTGTGCAAAAACAAAATTTCAAACAGTGCAACCTGGGTAATTGTCTTTTGAACATACTGTATGAATGTCTTTCAAAAATATTGAAAAACGTGTCAGTTTCGAACCCTTACAAATGGCTTAAAACTTACCGCGTCGGATCCGCCTTGATACAGCTATCAATGTGTTTTGTAAATCTTAGGTCATTGTCCACAGTCAATCCCAAGTTTCTGGCATGATTTGTGTGTGGAATAATCTTATCATCAATTGAAATTTAAAAACTATCTTCAATATCACTTTTATATACTAAGTGAAATATAAATCCGAACACCCAGTTTAAATGGTTTTATTTTAATAAAATTTTGTATAAGTACTTAATGAAGCATAATAAGTAAATGATAAAAATTTCAAAATGATTGCACTGCTTTAAAGCCCTTTGACCTTTAATAATGTGTGGATGCACCCTGATGTGCTACGCATTCTCCAACGCGCCTAGGCATGCTTCTGATCAGGTGGTCAATGTCCTCCTGTGGTATCTCATTCCAGGCAACCACCAACTCCTCTCGAAGTGCTTCTAGAGCCTGAGGATGACGTTGCAAATTGAGCAATCTCCTACCCATCATATCCCACACGTGCTCAATTGGGGATAAGTCGGGAGATCTTGGTGGCCATGGTAACCATGTGACATCATTATGTTGAAAGAAGTCTATTGTGACTCTTGCAACATGTGGTCGGGCATTATCTTGTTGGAAAGTTGGATCTGCCAGGGTGTCAAGATAGGGTAAAAGATGGGGTTCTAGAACTTCGTGGATATAACGCTACGCGTTCATGTTACCTCTGATGAAGATTAAAGGTGACCTGGAACCATAAGCTATAGCACCCCAAACCATAACTCCAACAGTGTGATGAACATGTCTTTCAACAAAAAACTGTGGATTCCTCCTTTCACCACGTCGCCTTCTAACCCTGGCACGACCATCGTGCATGCCTAAACAAAATCGAGACTCGTCACTAAAGACAATACTGTTCCATTCCTGATCCCAGAGTGACCGTTGTCTGCACCACTCAAGGCGATTACGTCGGTGTTCTCGAGTTAAAGGGAGGACCCAGTGTGGCCGGTATGAAAACAAGCCAAAACTTCTCATTCGTCGGTAAACACTTCGCATACCAATAGGTCTTCCGTGTTCTGCAAACCATTCATTTGCAATGGACCTGGTAGTGGAGAAACGGTCCCTTAAGCCCAATAATCTTAGGCGGCGATCTTCACGGTCTGTTGTTCTACGGCGGCGTCCAGTGCCCCTTGCTCTTTGCGTACGGCCTTCTCGAAGCCATGCCTGACAACACCTAACCACAGTGTCTACACTTCTTTGCACTCTAACTGCAATTGCCCGAAAAGAAAGTCCAGCTTCCCGAAGTCCCACTATACGGCCACTATCAAACTCACTAAGTTGCCGAAATCGTACAGGTCTCCGTACTCTAGGCAACGTAACCGATGGTAAAGGATGTCAAGAACCAAAATCCGCCAACGTTGATTCTTTACTGCGGCTGAAATATTCACTTTTAGAGCGTTAATGAATTAAAAAAAAGCAGTATAAAAACCGGAATGTCCAACTGATAAGGCTGAACATTTTTTCACTTGTTATTTACAGTAAGATAAATACATTCACCAACTTTTATTAAAATAAAACCATTTAAACTGGGTGTTCGGATTTATATGTCACTTAGTATATTATAGTGTCAAATGACTTGGAATAGGCAAGCAACACAAGACCCATTGTGTTTCCACTATCAATTTCTTTGATAATATCGTCTGCAACTTTATATGCTAATAGTGGAAAATTTATTTAAACTCACCATCCATGTGCCCAATCCGACTGTAGGCATCTTATGTCCATCGTTCAGCTCGACCGTCATTTCGACCGACATGTTTGCAGGTCAGCGGTGCAGTGAGTCACTTTGTAGGTCTGTCCGTCGGTTTGTCGTTCAAACGCATTGTATTGCCATCTCAATATAATTTATATTGCCCTCTACACTGTAATTATTTATACGCGGATCGATAGTGTCCACGTAGTATAAACATCGCCGCACGCTAAAAATTCATGAAGCTTGTCAAAGATGAAAAATGACCACGGCTGCTACCTTTTTAATGGGTTAGGTATTCTTAGGAATTGATTATGGTGTTTTATGATCTAGAATTGGAAGGATCATTAGGTTGGGAAAATTGAAAATAGGACTTTGGTAATATACTAAATGAGACAGAACATGAAACACCGACTAGGGGGGCTGTAATTTTGAGCATACTTTTACAAGTTTCAGGCCCGCTGCTGAATAGGAAGTGATTAAAATTTTAACTCGAAATTTCGCAAAATAGCTGAGATATCTCACACATCCGCTAAGTCGTCGCGGCATTGATTGGATTAGGGGATTGATGTCTTCTTGGTGTATTGTAGCCCAGGCCATCTAAATTTGGTTTCATAGAGCCTACAAGGCTGAAAAGTTGAGCGAAATTAGCACGTTTGCGAACTCTAGCTATGATAATGCGATGAAACAACAATGAAACAAATGGAACCGTCAGACACATTTGGTTCTCCTTGTATAATGAAATTAAGCCAACCATCATGGGCGCACGCTAGAGGAGCTGCCGATCTGCATTAGGAGATAATTTTGTAATATATTCTCAGGGGAATCACATCCTAAGAATCTCCAAAACTGTACACGCAACTTTGCTCAATATGCAAATTTGAACGTCAAACCGGAATCTTGGGGTGGCGGGGGGGCAGTTTTGATGTCAATATTATCCTCCTACCAAATCTTCTGTTTGTTTTAAAGCACCGCATGTTTTTTTCGTAATGTAAACATTATAAAACATAAATAACTTTTCATTGTCAATCATTTAATTAACAACTATAATTTTGAAAGTAAATATTACTGCTACTAGAATTAGTTTTGCGCTAGGACTATCATCCTGGCCTTACTTGCCGAGGAGGTCATTCAAGGTCAAATAAGAGGACCATTCAAGGTCATATCTGAATGTAAAATTTTTTGCTGGGATCATGTAGGTGTTTACATTTAAAATTTTGAAGTTGACATTCCAATGACCAAGGTCAGAATCATAGCTGAGGAAAAATCCTACAACTTTTTTATTCGAAGAATTTCCACCTATAATGAATTCCGGAAAAGTTATCGATATCGAGCATTGGTGGTAGTTTGACCTTGAGGGATCATTCATGTCAACATTTGAATTTGTTTAAACTCATAAAAAGGAGCTATCTTCATGTACGATCCTTTAGTTTTGAATTATGGACGATCTTTGTCAAGAGTGTACAGAACATCAGTCACATGTTGCGAATAAAAAATAAAATTGATTTTTAGCAAATGTCCCATAGTTTTGCAATTCTTGACTTCGAATGCCGCCTCCCCGACCCAAAATACGTACAATACAGTCTTTTGAAGCACATTTAAGGCATTTTAATTTTAGTAACCATGTATATGTTTACAAAAAAAGGACAAAACGTGGGACAATCTAGACCGTGGGCATAATTATCTTTATAACACGTTTTTTTGGGTCGCTGTAACCGATTCCGGAGCCGGAAATGTCCAGTTTTCGAGATACTGGCAAGGATTCCAATTATCAGAAAAATGTGCAAAAATTGTTGCGCGACTATGATCTAAAGTGTATCTAACGAAGCTACAAAGTAATCGTAAACAGTGGTTGATTCGTGATCAACGCGTGATCGGTAGCCATGGCGCTCTGTCGGCCTCTTTCTGATTGGCTTGTAGCGACGAGCCTCCAGACAAAGTCGCACGGTTGCCACGAGTCGGCGAGTTTTCGCCAGAGTGGTTGATCACATTCGCATGGATCACAAATCAATCTGTTGGTGCAATACGTGCAATAACTGTTGTAAAGGACATTATATAACAATAAATGGCATCACAAAGGTATATTCCAATTTGATCTGCAGCAAATTATGAACGGCATATACGGAGATGCGAAAACAAGCTCAAAAAGGTGAAGAAAATTTTTGTGCAATCTTTATAGTTAAATTTTTCCTAAGAGATAGCATCAGTGAGGGAATTTTTTTCTATTGTCTTATTTTTCACATTAATGCGATGTCGAGGTATGTGGCCCTATCGCAATTGAAAATAAGGTTTCGATAATCCTTCCATAAAGTTTCGATGAGTACATCTGAAATAACCTTGAGATATTCTTCAGGGAAATACAAAAATCTCCTTTTGTGTTTTTTTGTGCAGATTTATCTATTAAAATCCTATCCGCAATCTATTTTCCGTGCACACACCTTCAACCGAATGTATGCCATATATGATATTACTGTTTCCAACTTTCACCAAGGTTAATAGGAACCATAACAGCTCCCTACCCTTCCCCCCTATAAGAATATCGATTTGTAGCCTCACATTTCAAGGTTAGACTTCTTGTAATGTTTCTGTTCAACATTCGGCGATTTCTGACAATTTTCCCAATAAAACATGATCATTGTGACATTAAGCCTGGCCAGCGTTGCCATAGTAGAGGGAACTCTCAGCGTCACGTTGATGGTTCGTCACCACGCACAGGATTGTAATCAGTTACGGATACCCGTTTATGAGCGCGAACGTTTTATGCACGTCTTGACTTGATTTTTCTTGCGGAAATTTAATATTAGTCTAAAATGTCTGACACAGATACAGCTGATGAAGTGGTTGAAATCAGCTTAACGTCACCCAGAAAAAGGGCTAAAAAGCTTCATCTTAGCGCAGGTGAAAAACAAATTATTCTAAATATCTACAAGAACCAGATGCAAGAGAATAGTGGATTGGCTATAGAAAATATCGTATGTAAGGTTGCTGAAATTTCTGGAGTAGGTCGATCAAGTGTTTACAAAATCTTGAAGGAATATAGACAAAATCACTCACTATCTGAGCCAAAAACATATCCAGCGAGAAAAAAAATCATCGAAAAAATAGATGACTTTGACAAAAGTGCCATTAGAAGAATAGTACATCACTTTTTCTTCAGGAATCAAATACCTACAATAGATAAAATATTGAAGCAAGTGAATGATGATGAGGACCTGCCAAATTTTAAAAGATCTACATTCCATAAGCTGTTCAAAGAACTAGACTTTCGATTTTTGAAAAGAGGAAGGAATAGTTTATTGATAGAAAAGGAGGAAATTGTTATCTGGAGGAGAGAATACCTTAGAAAAATTAGGCAATTCCGCGCTGAAGGAAGAAAAATTTATTATTTAGACGAAACATGGGTGAACGCGGGGCATACGCAGGGAAAGGTTTGGGTAGACAGATCTGTGAGGTCCTCAAGGCAGGCTTTTTTAGATGGCCTTTCGACGGGATTGAAAAATCCTGCAGGTAATTTTCGAAGTATATGAACTTTTTTGGATGCAGATAATTCATTTTCTGATCGAATCAATGATTTGGAAGCTCCGAACTCAGTTTTGCTATCTCATCCAAGTTTCTGAGTATTTCCTTCACCCAAAAACTAATCTAAGACCCTATCCTACACTAACCTAAAAAGAGTAAGTTGCTTAATTTCGTCATTTAGTGCGCTCGCTGAGAAGTAAAATAACTAATTACTTTCAGGCAAGGGAAAACGCCTGATCATTTGCCACATAGGTAGCGTAGATGGATTTGTTCCTGAAGCATTGTGGGTATTTGAATCCAAAAAAACTGGAGACTATCACGAAGAAATGGATGGTAACTCATTTGAAAATTGGTTAAAAAAAATTTTGCCGACACTTGATGATAACGCAATTATTGTGATGGATAATGCCCCGTACCACTCCAGAAAATTGGAAAAAATTCCAACAATGGCCACCAAAAAGGCAGACATTCAACAGTGGCTTGTCTCAAAGAAGATCGACTTCGACCAAACAATGGTCAAAGCTGAGCTGATAAATATAGTCAAGCGACATAAGTATAAATATGATTTAAAAATTGTTGACGAAATGGCCAAAAACCAAAATAAAACGATTCTCAGGCTGCCTCCCTATCACTGCGAACTGAATCCTATCGAGTTGATTTGGGCCGACATCAAGCAATACGTGGCGTCAAATAACAGCACTTTTAAGTTTTCTGACCTTAAAAAACTGTTTGATGTTGCTGTCGATAGAATTACGCCAGCAAAATGGAGAACATGTATTGACCATGTCCAAGAGAAGGTTGAAACCAAAATGTGGGATATGGACAATATCATTGACACCCAAGTTGAACCCCTTATAATTGACATCAACAATTCTGATGATTCAAGCTCCTCGGAATACAGCATATAAATCGATTGATACCATTAAGACTGGCAGTTTAATGGGCTTTTTGGCAAGACAGGTAAGTTCATTATAGACTGCAATCAAAGTGTAAGTTTCTAGTTATTAATGTGGAAATTCCAAATTTATAATTACACAAAATTAGGGTTAATTTAGGAGTTCCAAAGCATAATAGTGCCATTTTGACCTTCTTCCTATTTCTCATGTAAATTTTAATAGCAATCAAACTAACAAACTTTATGGAGTCTGTAATAAACTTTTGTACAACTACTACTACGTCTGTAGTTTCTATTTGCTCAAAAAAATTTGCTCTGCATTGTGAATAGAAGGTTGATTTGTAAATATTATTGGGTATATATGTAAGTTAATAATAAAATATGAACAATTTCAATTGAGATGGTCCACAAGTTTTTTTCGTGTGCGTTTTAGTAACATTTTGCTGAAATGGTGAATACAGAATTTTTTGCACTGATTCCTAATTTCGAAATATGATTAGAAAGGCGTGGTATATTCCTGATAATTTACTATGCTTTTGATAGAATTTACAGCAACACATATCTTGTACGACATTTTTTGATAGATCAGTCACAATAGCTTGATACGGCACTGTAGCGTCTCCTACGGTCAAGTTCTTGATCACGTGCAATACGGGTGTATATGTTTGATTTTACTTTGTTTCTTCGATGGATACAGTTTAGATAAATCGGGTGCGTATGTATGTAATCCATATCACACAAGACGTTTGATTAAAAACAGTTAAATGTTTAAACATTTTTCAATTAAACGCCTAATCGGAAGACCTTGCATATGAATGAATCTTTAAACGTTGAAACGGGGAGCGTTTAATCGATAATTCGGAAAAACTGTCAGATCCTACACCCACCCACTCATACGGTATCGCACACGGCAGCACTTTCATTCACCGCGAGCTCTAAAACGTCGTCGTCTCTTTCGTTCGCTAAAAACCGAAAAGGAGAAAGTCCGCTATTATTGTCGCCCGAGTAGCATTCGGATTAGAAGTGTCGTTACATAACCTTGCCGTTTGTTGTTAAAGCGGTCGCGAACGCAGATAGTCATGGTCACCTCAGTTGTTCTTTTGTTTTTACTTTTCGCTAATTTCGTCGATTGCTACGATCCGAGCGATCCGCAGTTGAAGCAAGTGCTGCCACCTAAAGGTATTTATTGTCTTTTTCACGACTATACATTACGGTAAAATAACAGCTGATTATTTGGTAATATTTCATAATCCCCCATATTGACAATTGACGCATAAGTCTGACGGATAAAACGTCAGGTAGACATAGCCGTATTTTGTTTTGATTTTTTGTACGTTACCGATTCATTTTGTATTTGCCAACAGCTCAGTTATTTAGACAAGTCCATTTCCATACAAAAAAAAAACGGTACAAGCAAGTTTTATTAGATTTAATTCCCCTTTTCATCCGAGGAAATAAGGAAAAGTCGAACAGAGATGGCTGTGTGCGGAGGTGCATTATCGTGGTGGAAGGACCAGTTTCCTGACCGCCAGAAATCGGGTCTTTTTTGCCAATCGTCTTAATACCTCCAAATAGCACAAGCTCTCGAACGTTTTCAACATTTTCGTCGATTCGGGCAGTTGATGGGCGTCCAGAGCGAGATTTGTCATCAATCTACATGTCGCCATTTTTAAATGGAGCATAACACTCGTACAACTGAGTTTTTCCCACAGCATCATCTTTGTAAGTTATTTCCAACATTACAAGAGTTTCAGCAGCATTTTTACCAATTAGAAAGCATCAAACAGCTCTAGCAAAAATAATGACCACAGAGGAAGGAAACAAGCCAGATCGACAACTCAACTGAACTGGTAACGAGTTGCGCTGTACGCCTCTAGGGGCAGAAATGTGTACTACACAAGCTCCTCCCACTGCAATGCTATTCCGGTTATTTTTGGGTACCTCCTCATATATTCAAGTGACGGGTTATACGAAAGCGCTTTTAACCCAAAAAATGATGCTATACGACGAATCGAGATTGACCAGCCACTACGAAGGTCGCGCCCCCGCTCTTCAATGTTCATTCTCCGTTAGTGCCCCTCCATCGGAGACAAATATCTTGGTGAACATGCGACCACCACTAAGTGACCCCCCTCTGATTCAAAGGCTGATTTTCCTTGGACTCAAACCAACCGCAACCAATTTTTTTGGATTTTTTCCGTTTCTTAAGGAGACAGAAAATCTTGAGGGTTCAAGCAGCACAAGTATATCCTATGTATGTTGGTGTTGGATCTAACGTAGGTATTATATACGTCCTTTAAAACTGGAACATATTATGGATGTAGAATTTTTCTTTCTAGAAAAAATACTTGAAAATAAAACATCATATCCCCGAAAAAAAAAGGCGTCAAGTAAGTTGAGTCTGTACTTCCCACGTTATGCTCTAAAGGATTGTGTTTGGCAGAAGTTAGGCCTTCCGAGAAAAAAGTTAGCTACGAACATGTATAACGTTTCTCCTTCACCTGAACATGATCGTTACGATCACCAATGCCACGTAAATGACGATATTGGCCTTCACGATCCACAGTGCACACAGCACATAGCAGGACGGAAGCGATTGCCGACCATGACGTACGACCACCGACGACGACGTTTGTCCATCGGGAGACCACGTCGACCGTAGAAGATAGTCATATTTTGGGGGTAAATATACGGGGATGATGAGTGAAATATGTCTAATATGTGCGCAGACTAACTGGGGCTAAAGGCTTATATATATATATATATATACTAAGTGACATATAAATCCGAACACCCAGTTTAAATGGTTTTATTTTAATAAAAGTTGGTGAATGTATTTATCTTACTGTAAATAACAAGTGAAAAAATTTTCAGCCTTATCAGTTGGACATTCCGGTTTTTATACTGCTTTTTTTTAATTCACTAACGCTCTAAAAATGAATATTTCAGCCGCAGTAAAGAATCAACGTTGGCGGATTTTGGTTCTTGACATCCTTTACGATCGGTTACGATGCCTAGAGTACGGAGACCTGTACGATTTCGTCAACTTAGTGAGTTTGATAGGGGCCGTATAGTGGGACTTCGGGAAGCTGGACTTTCTTTTCGGGCAATTGCAGTTAGAGTGCAAAGCAGTGTAGACACTGTGGTTAGGTGTTGTCAGGCATGGCTTCGAGAAGGCCGTACGCAAAGAGCAAGGGACACTGGACGCCGCCGTAGAACAACAGACCGTGAAGATCGCCGCCTAAGATTATTGGCCTTAAGGGACCGTTTCTCCACTACCAGGTCCATTACAAATGAATGGTTTGCAGAACACGGAAGACCTATTGGCATGCGAAGTGTTTACCGACGAATGAGAAGTTTAGGCTTGTTTTCATACCGGCCACACTGGATCCTCCCTTTAACTCGAGAACACCGACGTAATCGCCTTGAGTGGTGCAGACAACGGTCACTCTGGGATCAGGAATGGAACAGTATTGTCTTTAGTGACGAGTCTCGATTTTGTTCAGGCATGCACGATGGTCGTGCCAGGGTTAGAAGGCTACGTGGTGAAAGGAGGAATCAACAGTTTTTTGTTGAAAGACATGTTCATCACACTGTTGGAGTTATGGTTTGGGGTGCTATAGCTTATGGTTCCAGGTCACCTTTAATCTTCATCAGAGGTAACATGAACGCGCAGCGTTATATCCACGAAGTTCTAGAACCCCATCTTTTACCCTATCTTGACACCCTGGCAAATCCAACTTTCCAACAAGATAATGCCCGACCACATGTTGCAAGAGTCACAATAGACTTCTTTCAACATAATGATGTCACATTGTTACCATGGCCACCAAGATCTCCCGACTTATCCCCAATTGAGCACGTGTGGGATATGATGGGTAGGAGATTGCTCAATTTGCAACGTCCTCCTCAGACTCTAGAAGCACTTCGAGAGGAGTTGGTGGTTGCCTGGAATGAGATACCACAGGAGGACATTGACCACCTGATCAGAAGCATGCCTAGGCGCGTTGGAGAATGCGTAGCACATCAGGGTGCATCCACACATTATTAAAGGTCAAAGGGCTTTAAAGCAGTGCAATAATTTTGAAATTTTTATCATTTACTTATTATTCGTTAAGTACTTATACAAAATTTTATTAAAATAAAACCATTTAAACTGGGTGTTCGGATTTATATGTCACTTAGTATATATATATATATACCAACTTAAAAAAATAATCTATACCCTTCCCAACCCTCTAAAACCACTAAGCCCCTACCCTTCATGTCCGGAAAATTGTCAGGATCGTCAAAGAAGTTGGAAAAATTAATTTTCTATGCAATAGTTTATAATATTCGCGATATACCTACTTATCGAATATCGATGAATGGACGACAAATTTTTCGGCACCTATAACTAGACCCATTGAAGAGAAAATTGAAACACAGATTCGGATTCAGCGCATCAAAAACCTTGAGGCCTGTATAACTTCCATGAAAACACCTATGGACTAAAATGACACAGATACAAAAATCATCTCTGAAAGCTACTGACGCTTTTTTCCTCTATTTCCAGGTACCTTCGAGGCCTTCTATCCGAGAGGAGAAGAGTCCGGCCCTGCTAGGGCGGCACATTCCCACGGAACCTTCTATAAACATAGAAACCCGGCACTGGTGGACGCAAAAAATGCAGCGGCGTACGGTTTTAGATTCGATGGGGGTAGAAGATTCAACTATGAATAGGAATAATCTTGAAATTGCAAGTGCGGTGGAATGAAAATATATTTTCGTGCAATATTAATGTAATAAATATCCTGTTTTCATGTGGTGCTCTGTTTCAATTTGATATTTAGTAAAGCCTAAGAGAAGACCTTGATAAATATAATTACACCAATTATCACTCTGAAAATAAGGTTAACATTTTGGTTAGCCAACTAAGTGACATATTAAGATCTTTAACTGATAAAAATACAACCACAAAAACATTGAATAGGCGCGAGATCAAGCGAAAGCCTTGGATCACATCAGGTATTGTAAATTCTGTTAATGAAAAAAATCGTCTATATTCTGAGCACTTGATGCAGCCAGAAAATGAGGAGGTGAGGATAAGATATCTGGAATATAAGAAAAAATTAGAAAACTCATACGAAATGCTAAATACAATTTTTACAAGAAACAAATAAATAAAAACAAAGATACTCCTAAGAACTTGTGGAACGTAGTCAATAAACTCTGTAAAGGTAGTTCTAAATGTGCAGTCAAGGAAATGGTTGATGAAAATAAATTATGTGATTCGCCAATAACAATTGCGAACAAATTTAACGATTTCTTTGTAAATATTGGCAAATACTATGCTGAACGCATTGTGAGGCCAAACAAATATAGACCGCAAAATAAATCATCAAAGTACATTTTTCTTAGAGGCGGTAGATGTAACTGAAGTAACCTCAATCATTAACACATTAAAAATGGGAAATCACCCGGTTTATATATTTAAATGTACTGCTGACATTATGTCAATGCCGCTTGTTACTTAATCAACCGGATTTATATTTCTAATCAAGTCCCAGAAGGGTTCAAAGTAGCTTTAGTTACACCTGTCGATAAAAAAGGTGATGTAAAAAGTATAAATAACTATAGTCAACGCCAAACAAAGTGGCGTGCACGTCATCACGATAAAAATTCCCCGACCTAATGCCTAGGTTTCTATCACAAACAATTGCTCTATTGCAGTTTCATATTAATGTGATATATAAATTGTAAAATGGTCATTACTCTCTTATTATGATTAATAGTCATATAAACATTGTTGTTAAAATATCACATAAATTTAGACGCATTATGCGAAATAAAATGTTTTGCAAACGCTCCAATCACTTATCGACATGTAAACGCACTAAACCGATTTCGCAGCGTTGACACATTGTCACCTTGAAACTTATTTAAACTGGGAACTGACATTTGTATTAATTTTGACACTGAATCAATTTGTGGCATTTCAAATCTTTATAAATCCTTTGGCCCCGCATACTGTAAATCAACAACTGTTTGTTTCAAAACAAAATTATTCATTTTACGAGTAGATAAAGGCAATTTTGGTATATAAAGATGCCCAAACAGTTAAATAGTCGGTGTAAGGAACTCGTGGCCTCGTTAATGCACTACTTTGAGCAAGAAAGGGACAACAACGGGCCTTTGTTGCCTTTAAATGCTGTTCAAGAGGTAGGTTACTAATAATTATATGTAATGTATATTAATAATAGTGAAATTTTATTTCATTTTTTGTAGCGTGTTGCTGCTGCTTTAAAAATTAGTTTAAGGACAGTTAGTCGTATTTCCGAGGGTGTGAAAAGTGATGCAAATTTAGAATCGCCCAAGAAAAAGCGGAGATATATTAAACGTGTAACCAACACAGCGACATTGGATACAAGTGCCATTCGAGAAGTGATCTATAATATTATCACAAAAGTAAGATCTTATTATAATAACTTATCAGAAATTTGCATTAATTTGTTAACTAAATTATAATGTCATATTACACATGGTTTCAGAAGAACAAGTTACGATACAAACTTTATGGTCTCGATTAAGAGATAGGGCATTATTTGATGGTAGTGCCACGTCTTTAAGGCGGTTGCTTAGAGATCTTGGATTTAAGTGGCTTAAGGACAATCCGCGACGAGGGCTCATGGAACTACCAAGTATAGCTTTGAAAAGGGTGGAATTTCTAAGGCAATACAATCAAGCCAAGGTTGAGGCCTTATACCAGTTTGTCTTCCTCGATGAAACTTGGATATTTCAAAATGGGACCATAGGTCGCTCTTGGCAAAATGGAAACCAAAAAAGCGTGAAAGCTATTAAAACAGATGGTAAAAGGTATGTACTTTTACACAATTTGCACTATAAAATTTAAAACTAATATATTTTAGATACATTATATTACATGCTGGAAATGAAAATTGGTTTATTGAGGGTAGTGAAGCGATATTTTCTTCGAAAACAAAATTGAGCGATTACCATGGAGAGATGAACCAGGACAATTTTTTGAAATGGTTTCAACATCAGTTATTAGAAAAATTGGAGAGTCCATCTATGATTATACTGGATAACGCCCCTTATCACAGCATGATATTGAACAAAGTGCCCAACAATGCATGGACAAAAAAAATATCCAAGACTGGTTGACAAATCAAAACATACCATTTTTAAACACAATGTTTAAAACAGAGCTATTGAGTATTGTTGCTCGGTACATAATGCTTCTTAATTATATATATTTTGGTCGACAGTTTATATTTCTTTTGTTTATTCCTATTCTTAAAATAACTGCTTTTTTAGAAACAAACCACCTAAAATATACGTGATTGATGAATTGGCGGAACAACATGGGCACAAAGTTCTTCGTCTGCCTCCTTACCATTGTATATTTAACCCTATTGAGTTAATTTGGGGCATAGCAAAAGGTTACTATAACAGACATATTGGTAGAGATGGTAACAGTGAAAAAGACTGTTTGGATATGTGGAACGAGGCTCTACAAACGGTTACCCCAGACATGTGGAAAAATAGTGTTCGACATACTGAGCAAGAAATTTTTAAATGGTATGAAAGAGAACGAATTTTTGATCGACCAGACATCGAACCTTTAATAATCAACTTTGAGAGTGATGAAGATTCAGATTCAGACAGCGCTGAAGAAAGAAACTCCGACTAACTTTATTGTACAGAAAAAGCTTACACCAGTAGCTTACCTAATTTTAGAATGCATTTTTCTGTATGAATTCTGTAAAATAAATACCATGCATAAAATTTGGAGGACCCCATTTGGATTTTTATTCAGTACCTTTAAGCTATCAATTAAATATGGTAGTTTCATAGTGTCATCTGATCAATAATTGTCATACTTAATGATTATGCAAGTACAGATCTATAATTTTATTATACTATTATTTTTGTTCTCATTTGAGGTTAATATTGCTTATAAACCTAGATATATAAATAATAAATTTTATTATTTTACAAAAAGTTTGGCAACAATGTAAATTTTTCAACACACCCAACTTGATGACGTGCACGCCACTTTGTTTGGCGTTGACTATATAGACCAATATCTGTCATCATAATTACAGCTAAAATATTTGAGAAAACTTTGAAAAATAGGCTAGTTAAATTTTTGGACAAATGTAAATATCTTTCAGATAAGCAATTTGGTTTTCGAGAGGGAATATCAACCAAAGATGAAATTGCTAAGTTAACAGAAGAGATTAGAAACAGATTAGAATTGAGTACACAGGTACTGTGCGTATTCTTGGATCTTGCCAAGGCCTTCGACACTGTGAATCACCAGCAGATGTTGGACACCTTGGAGGATGCAGGAGTACGAGGCGGACCTTTACAGTTGTTTACAAGCTATCTCTCAAATCGAAAACAAGTAGTGAAGATTAGTGACACATTCAGTAATGAAAAGACAGTTGATTACGGTTTACCTCGGGGTACTGTGTTGGGTCCAATCTTGTTTACAATTTACATAAACAGCATTCTAACTTCTTCGTCAGTTGGTCAAGTGTTTAGCTTTGCAGATGATACGGTAGTCCTGTATGATGATAACACTTGGGAAAATGTAAAAATTAAAGCAGAGCGGGATCTAGGAACTATTTTTGATTATTTTGCTCATAAACTTTTAACCGTGAGATATGAAAAAACATTATTTATGCCTTTTTCTAATACAGTACGTTGTCTACCTCAGTATAAACAACTTTTAATAAATCAAAGTATGTCTTTAACATCTGTGAAAGCCTTGGGTGTCACCATTTATCGCTACTTGAGATGGGATGTTCATACAGCTAACATTACAAATACCTTACGACAACTCTTATATCGCTTTAAATACTTAAAACATCTCATAGACTACAAGCACCTGAAAATGTTGTATTATTCATTAGTTGAATCACGTCTATGATACGCTATTTTGAGTTGGGGAAGTACCGCATATTGTCATTTGCCGGCTCTGGATATACTGCAAAAAAGAATGTTGAAAGTAATATCTGGCAAAAAATTACTTATCCTTCTGATAAATTATTTTCAGAGACTGGAGTGTCTGATCTACGCCAACTGTTTCTGCATGAATTAATTCAATTCATATACAAACACAAAAACAACTTCAATAAAACTAGCCATGCTTATAGTACTAGATATAAAGAAAATGAAAACTTAAAAAAACAAACTTTTCAAAGAAATGTAAGCTTGCGATGCCACACCCACCTATCACGTAAAATTTATAATTGTTTGCCATACGTGTACCGTATGTATGTTGATAAAATAAACTCATTGTCTTTGATAAAATCTTTATTTAAAAAATATATTTTTTTTTTTGTTAATTGGTAGACAAGAGACACGAAATCTAGTAGAAATTCTGTACTAGAAATCCTACTACGTTAGTATTACTCTTCCTCACCCTCCATATTTCTGTAGTTTGTGGAATAAACTTTATTATATAAGTGCTACTCCTCCTTACCTTCCATACTTACGATGTGCTTGTATAAAAACCTGCTCTAAGCAAAATTTATTATCAAAATTATATAAAAAAAATCTGCCCGTGCACAACCAACTATTTTGGTTTCAATGGGCTTTACAAGACAATTTAAAAACTTTCTGTGACTTATAAAACATGCTAAGATTATTTTGTGAAATTCAGGTATTATGTTTTATTTTACGTTTATTATTGTACTGAAGTTAGCATTTGTGTTTATTATCAAATTGTATTTTGGGGGAAAAAAATAAACGTATAGTACTACTAGTACTACTAGTACTACTACTACTACTACTAAAGATAAAGGATAAAGCTGCCGTACGAAAATTCAGAGAGTGATTATTTAGGTCGATTAAAAAAAAAGTTTCTATGAACTATATTTAGAGTTTCGTTTTTGTGAAAAAAAGGACGACAATTACTTTTTTGTATAGCTTTTATATATAAGG